GCAATTTTTTGCCTTTTCTTGCAATAATATTCTACTTACAGGAATATTGTTTGCTCTTACAGAACAAAACATGTTGAATACTATTTTATCAACTTCACAAGCTTCAGTTTTTCTAAATTTTATAGTATTGGAATGTTCATTTGAATTAGCAATCCATAATAATCTTTTAGTGCATGACTTACTTCCTTTTTACTTATTCAAAATTTCTGCACTAAATCTCTCACACTAAGCTTTTCAGTTTCTGCAACATGAATTGCACCAACTTTTTTTTGTTTTGTTTTGTTTTGTTTTGTTTTAATGTTAATCTTTTCCTATTTGAAACCATGCTAGATAAGTATGTAAAAATAACACAAAAGTACAAAACTACATTTCTTTTTCTCCCGAGTCCTAGCAAGAACTAGGAATGCTAGAAGTTCTGTTCACATTGTGAGATCCCTGTGCCTTGGCAAGGTGATCCAGTCATATCACCATCTTTTCTTTCCCACTGGTCCCTCTCTTCAATTGCCTTTCAACTTGCTAACACTGCTTTCTTCCACTAATGAGAACAGTAGCAAGAATAACTGGGTTTTGAATCCTATGAATGCAAAATATCATTTTGATTGCATCACAGTTTGCTTTTTCCCAATGTATTGTTCTCCTTTTCTCCACTGACAAACAGTTTTCAAAAGAGATGGACTAATTTTTTATTTTATTATCCCTTGTGACAAAACTTTCACTGAGCACAAACTTGCTTTTGAAACTTCAAAAGATAAACAAAGAGTACTTTTATTTTCATTTATTTCTCTACCTCTATCTTATTTCTGAAACTTCTTTCCAGTGTCTCTTAAATATAATGTCCCTTAATAAAATGTAAATATATTAAGGTCCCTTTTCAAAATGAGCAGGACCAACAGATTGTCTCTTGAATAGAGGCATCTCTGTCCTTATTCAGAGGTGTACCTTACAGGAGGTACTACTATATATATATAAAAGCAAGACAATGTATAAATAATTTATTTAAAATAGTGTACGACTTTAGATTAACTGTTTCTTATCATTAAATGACAAGATATCTGGACAAGAGCACCTGATACTAAATTACCATCATTCTATCATGTCTGAAGTCACATAATAATAATAATAACAGAAAAATTTTAATTCTACACAAATTTGTAATAAGATTCAAAGAAATATAAGTTATTCTGTAAGGTTTCTGGATGTAACATAATGACTATTTTTCTATATCAATAAAGTAAAATACTAGCACATTTAAAAATATGTTATTTATACTTGGGCACAATGGTAAAAATTCTCAATTTTAACCCAATTTAATCAGTATTTATACAACATTTACATAGACTCCAACCTTCAGCAAACCTTGTCAGTAGTCAACGCGCGAACGACATTTTTACAACTTTGAAAATGTGCGTGTAGCGTATGTTGTAATTAACCATTCATTAATTTTAAATTAATAATTAATTGTAATCAATTTTATTACATTTAAAATCCATATACATATAAAACAGAATAATTAAAAATATACCTTGTAAATTATATGCACATTTAATTAGAATTTTTCTTTTAACTCCTCAAGCATTCACTAATAAAAAGTACTTCAAATCACTACTAATCATAGAAAAAATCAGAAGCTATAAATCATATCTTTATTCTGGATATGATTTCTACAGGGAAATAAAATTTAAATAACCAAGAATGATACATATAAGTATTAAACAAAATATGCATAATTTATGAATGCAAAGATTTATATGTAGCATGCTTAGCAAGCTTAAGTTCTGATTTTGAGAATGTTTTTTATAACACAGTTCTTCATTTGCCTGCATATTTATTTTTTCAATCAAAACTGCTTCAAGAGTTTTAAGACCTAAATTTGGTCGAAATTCTGTCTGATTTTTTTAAACAATAGAAAAAATTCTTTCGCAAGTTGCATTTTAATGAGGTATTATTAAGACAGCAAGCATTACAGAAGGCAATACTTTGTATTTAATACACCCATTCATATTTTTTAATTTGGCAATTTCTCCCCATGCTATATCAATACGCAAATCTACAATTTCTTTCAAATCATCTACTTGATACATGGAAAATTCAATTTACTACTTGATTAAGACATTTTTCATCAATAATGGATGGAAAAGTATTCATCAAGTAAAAGAACAGATGAAAATGAGACTTCAGTTCTCAAGTTGATGTCAGCAACTTCAGCATGTTTTAGAAATGGATCACTCGGTGGAAATTTATCAATTATATATGAACATGCAGTTACAAAAAAAGCTCGCACAGAATTGAAAAATGATTTCCCTTCACTTTCATTCAAACTTGGCATTTTTTAAATATAGTCTTGTTTTTCCGCACCAATCACTAAATTTTCATTTTCTTTTGGTTACTATACTTCTGAAATGGAATAGACGTTAGAGTAACATCTTCATTTTCTTTAGAAATTACTGATGGTTTTACGAATCTAACAAGTAAATTCATTAAAAGTTCAAAAAGTTCTCTTCTCAATTTATGTATATAAGGAGCTTGTTGTTGCAAATTAATATTTACTGTTATAAACAAAAGGCAAAGTATTTTTCAAAAATAACAAGTACAATTTGGTGGTCGGTGACTGTAAAATTTTTTTAATGTTTTGCAATCTCTTTCCTTCATTCTCACTGTTATCTGGTTTATCTCCAAAAAAATTTATCACAGCATCCCACTGTTCCAAAATCCTTGTTATAGATTCTAAAAGAGACAACCATCTCGTACTGCAATATTTCAAAATTTTATGAGATTTTGCATTCTGTCCCAAAATTTGTTGAGCAACTTTGAAGCTATGCTTTCGTTTCGAACTTTTCTCCAAGTAAAAATATATATCTATTATAAACATTTCAATTTCTGAGCCAATTAATTTTTCAGTAGCTTTTTTTGCAGCTACATGCAAGAGGTGGCACGGACAACCTCGGGTGATTATACTTGGTTGATGCATTTTGATAAATGATGCTACACCTTTAAACTTTCCAATCACATTACTAGCATTATCTGAAGAAAATGATAAGCAATTTTTCCATTCTAAACCTTTGTTTTTAAAGTTTTCATTTATACAATTAAAAATACCTTCTCCTGGTATTATTCGTGCATTCTAAAATAGAAATCAATGAAGTAATTATCACTCCCTTTTCTTTACTGTAGTATGTTATAACCAATGGGTACAGTTTGTTATCATTACTTCCATCAGTACTTAGAGAAAATGATGTACTGCACACTGATTTTATAATATCAGCAACAGTATTTTCTGCAAGCGTTTTCACAATAGCAGCAGTTTTGGTATGACCACAGCTAAATTTTTTTGCTATGGCAGAATCCGGAAACATTGCTTTGAAAAGCTCTCTGGAATGATCCGAAACAGAAAGCGGTAGATTATGTTCAATTAAAAAACGAACAAAATAGCATTCGGCTTTTATAGGATCTGTTTCATCATCTTTTATTAAGAAATTTGTTATTTCTTTAGATTTTACGGTGCCAAGTTCTATATGCTTTTGAGAAAAAACACATGCCGTTTACAGTCATCTTTCCACCATGAGCAACTGAGAAGTCTTTGTTGGATACACTGCAGTGTGTGCGTGATTCACAGAAATTTCGGACGCTTTAATGCATGGAAATTCTGAAGAATATGAATCTTTAAACTTCTGCTTTGATAATTTTGGCTTCTTCGTTCGAGGCAGCATTATGATTAAAAAATCTTTCACCTGATTCACAGTTCACAAGACACACGCTAAGCTCTCGCCGTAAACTACACAATGCAGCCGAATGCAGCCTAAACACGCATCAGCGAGGAACCTGGGAGACAGACAATTGGGTGGAACTATTGATAAGTCGTTAACGGTTGGAGTTACTGATCTACGATTGGCTAATTCTTCAAAACTAGGAACGCACTCAACACGTGATATATGATAACACGAGTATTCAACCAATCATCGGATGAATTAGTTGGTTCCGTTTTGCGTACTGGTTCTCCTGCTCTTGTTTCTGTAAAATCCGTAGTTTTTTCCATACTTTTCGTAGCTCGTAGTTTTTCATGAATTTCCGTAGAAACTACGGAGAATCCGTAGTAGTTGGAGTCTATGCATTTAATTACAAAAATACAGAGAAATATTTAACGAGGATAACTAGCTATAATAAAGCAAATTATATTGATCGATATTTCTAAAATTCTGATACATGAAGTGCGTTCTAAAAACATCTCTTTCTTTAAATGCTGTTTTCTTTTCAGAATTTAGTGCTCTGCATCCATATAATGCCATTTTCCACAACATTAACTGAAATGTTACTAATTAGATTAATTCAGAAAGCCACTTGGAAAACTATAACAATTTTGGTAAGTTCTGAATTTTTAATTCTACTTAATTTAAATCAACAGTAATTTAAAAACAAAATCATACATAATTAAATAAAATATTCCTTCCTCCAGATTAATATTCAAAATCAATCAGAAAATTTTAAAGATCAATTTAAATCACTTGCTCAACTTCCACCAAGATGGCATCTTGCTTAATATGTCATTTTAAATCAATATTGAGAATGATATATCATCAAAGTTTTACTATATATCATCAAAGTTTTACTGCTTTCAAATTTAATGATAAATTAAAATTATTTTTTAAATTAAGATAATACAAATTCAAATTAAATTTGTCTTGTGATTCAAATTTTGAGAAATGTTAAATCTTTTGCTATTGAGAAGGAAATTTAATATAACAAAAATTCCACCTTTTAATTAAAAAAAAATGTGTCAGGAATAACTTAAGTTTTTACTACAAATCATTTTATATAACAAATAAAAGTATATAAATTGTATGCAGATTTAAATACTCAGAGTCTACACATATTTTACAGTGATATAATGCTAGTTTCAAGCTTTCATTTGTAAGACTTAAGATAAAACAATAAGAAACATTAAGAAAACCAAACATTAAGAAAAATTTAAACCAAACATTAAGAAAAATTTAAAATCTTATTACCCATCATATCTCTGATGTCAGAATAATCCAAATATCGAATGTATAACTGAAAAATAAACTTCAGATTACACATATGCATAGAAAATCCTTTTTAAAGCAACTTTTTAATAAAAACAATAAATTCTTTAATTAACAAAAGTGCAAAATAAGAAAAATTTAATTTTGAAAATAAACTTGACAAAATATAAAAATAAACCTAAAAAGGTAAATCATTACAACTTTAGGCACATAAGGAATAAAACTTTCTGAATCATAAAATACTTTCAACATGATCATGGTTAAATAAACATACACACAATTGTGTATGTGTGCACACATATGTATATATATATACACTACTATAAAAAAATGATGCACCATGAAGTTACCTGAATGGGTCAAAATTGGAATGCGATGTACATGTAGAGGAAAACATATGATTGCAATTTAAAAAAAAATATGATTTATTCAAGAAAATCAGCTTCACAAACTGAGCAAGTCAATGATGTGTTTGTCTATCTCTGGCCTTTAAGCAAGCTGTTATTTGGTTTGGCATTGATTAATAGAGTTGACAGATGCCCTATGTAGGATATTTTGCAAAATTTTGTCCAAATGGTGTGTTTGATCGGCAAAATCCTAAGCAGGTTGAAGGGCCCTGCCCATAATGCTCCAAACATTTTTCGTGAAAGGGGGGGGGAAGTCCAGCGACCTTGCTGGCCAAGGAAGTGATGGACAAGCACGAAGACAAGCAGTTGAAACTATTGCCATATATGGGCGGGCATTATCTTGCTGAAATGTAAGTGCAGGATGGCGTGATATGAAGTGCAACACAATAGGGCGTAAACATTATCGACATTATCTCTGTACCATAAGGGTGCCACGGACGAGAACCAATGAGGTTCTGCTATTAAATGCACTATAAGCACTCCAGACCATCACTCCTGACTTTTGAGCCATATGGCGCACAACACTCAGGTTGGAATTCTACCATTATCCAAGGAGTCTCCAGATACATCTTCGCTAGTCATAGGGGCTCAATACGAAGCAGGATTCATCACTGAAGACAATTCTACTTCAGTCAGTGATATTCTAAATCGAATGTGCTCGACACCAATGCAAATGGGCTTCTTGGTGAACAAAGATTAATGATAATCAGCGCAAGGAAGACTGTGACCTCAGCTCTCTTTCTCTAAGCTGCCTACTAATGGTCTTTGCGATCAATGAAGCACGAGTAGCACATAGGAATGATGATAATGATTAATATGAGACTCGTCTCTCTATGCTGACTGCTTCTTTCTTGACACTGCATTCGGCCGTGATTCAACCATTCCTGCCAACATCATCTAACTGTGGCATCGCTCCTATTCAAATTTTGAGAGATTCTCCAATTAGACCAACTGCCTTCTTTGAGCCTAACTACATGTCCTCTCTCAAATGCTGACATTCGTACATATTTTTTGTGCACCTGTATGTGAGGCATACTTACTGTCTACCACGAGTACACAAAATGAAATTCACATAGACTATATGACCTGGAATCAAAATCTCTCCTCTTTAATATCCTGCCAGTACACATTTAAGATGCACTGCAGCGCCACATGTTCATTCATTAGTTGCTATTTGCATTTTCCTTCGAAAACCTGTATGCATATCAATTAGTGTCCAATTTGCATTATTCCTTCTTGGTGCATCGTTTGGTACTCTTCTGTTATTGGGACCGGACTCAGAAATGTATATGTCTATGTAAGTGTGCATGTATGTAAAATTTTAATTTACATGTTTTTTTATTTACCTTACATATATAACACAAAAAATAATATTTAAAAAATTTAGTGTACACACATATACATATATATCAAATTTTTGTTAGTTATGTATTATCTCGTCAACCATTGGTAGAAATTTCAGTAACAATCGTCAATCGTTACTACAGAATTCTAAAGGAAGTGATCATCTGTAATTATGACTAAACTGCGCTACTTGGTCGATCGATAAGGTAATATGTAAGTATTAAATTTCTTTTAAAGACACACAATAAAAGTCTGATATCTGGAATCATACATATTCTGGAAATTCTGGATATTAGATTTGTTTTAAATATAGTGAAGATGGCATGTAGAAATTATAAAATTAAATATATGAAACAGTAGTTTTTAAAATAAAGAAGCATTTATGACCTTAAGAGAATCAAAATTTTTTAAAAAATTTGCTACTTATTTGTTTTATTACACATTTAAACATTTCTTTCAACATAAGTTGTTTAAGAATGGTCCCTTTTTTTTTTTTTGCTAATGCTTTAATTTTATATACAGACCTACTTTCTTATTCAGTTAAAAAGTTTTCATTTCTCAACTCCGTAATTGCCAAATTGAGATTTCTCACTAAACTATCAAATGAAATCTGCTCATTCTCCCCAACAAACTCTTTGCCACTTTCTTCACATCAGTAGAAACATTTTCTTAATTTAAAACCATACTACAGATTTCACTGACCGACCATTAGTTGATAGATGGGTTATTTTAATTATGGCAAAGCACTCAAAGGCTATCTGCCTAAGGTGAATGACACATTTGTGAAGGATATTCTGTTACATATGAGAAAAACCATGAAAACAGCCATAGAGCCATCCTGTTCACCAGGCATTGTCTTCATAATGAAAAACTTCTGCTACATCATCTTCATTTGCTATCACTTCTGCGCAAATTCCACCAATTTGGAAATTTCACTTTTTGCGTATCGTATCTGAAAAACCATCAAATTCACAGCTTTCATCATCACCACTAACTTTATAAATATGATAGCAAGTGATAAATTATGCCAAGCATTTTTTTAAATATTGGCAAACATGTCCTCCCATAATTAAGACATTATGTCCTCCCATAATTTTACACAGCAGATTTTAATTTTTTTAATTCTTGAATGTCTCAATATTTGTGAAAAATTCTAGCACAGGTTTTAAAAAAGGCTACTTTGTAGCTGCATTCCATCATGCATAGTAACTTCAAGAACCATTGGCTAGATGACTGGAATTCAATTTGGTGGAAAGAGGACAATTTATTTTTACTAAAACTTTACATAACGCATGAGCCAAATGATTGTCTATTATATTATCAGAGCAATTTCTGCATCATCTGATAAGCCCACTGGACCTCATGATTTTAAAAACAATTATTCATTAATTCTTGTTATCCATGTTTTTTTTATTTGAATGACAGGTGATAGGGAAAATTTTTTCTTTTTTAATTGCCTGAGGTCATGTACTTCCTGAGTTATGGCTATTTTATATTTGTAAGTTCATACAGCATTTGCACATGATAAAATCAGTTTGCAACAGTTGGAGTCTATTCTGCAGAAGCTCCCAAGGTATTTCAGGACACATAATTGACAAAAGACCAGAGACCAGTTTTGTCAATGTTATAATTTTTTTCTAGAGATATGTTTTCACTATTAATCCATGTGATGAATTCATCTGCAATTTGTTCCTCAGTTCATTTAGTTACATATGCTTCAATATAAACAAACTTTTTTGCCTGAAATTTCTAATTACCTTAAGGTAATATTAAAATTTGGTTAACATGCCTGTCAAACATGTGCATTCAGTTTAAAATTTATTTTCTCACAAAATATTTTGACTTGAGCAATTAGAACTGGACTCATCAATGACATGTCTTCACTGAGATGTTACCTGACCTTTTAATCATAACTTTGTCATGATCATAGCATAATGAATGATTTTTCTGTTATTCATTGCGAGTTGTTTGTCAAAACACACAAAAAATTTTAAGACATTATGAGGTATTTTTTCCCTCCTTATAGAATGCCTTTGTGGTATAAATGGACGGCATGTCCAGCAAGCAGTTGGGATGCACGGTATTCAAATCCCAGTAAAAGCAATGCACATTTTTCACATTCCTATATCAACATAACCTAATGACACTACAAGTGCAGCCAGATGCATTTACACTAGAAAGGCACGTGGTAAGAAGGGAGAAAATATCGGAAGCACTTCCGCAGAGAACCTGGTAAATGTAAACATCGCCAACTTTGGCGAAAATAGTTCAAACCTGGTAACCCAACGGATTTGTCCTATTCGCTAGTTTAAAGTTTGCAACCATTCCTCTTGCGTTTATTTTTTTGTTGAATTATCCCTGTCGTTTTTCGCATTTGCAGATTTATATTATTCTTCTCTTATTTATTATTATTTTTTCTGAATTTTTTAACAATGATTAGATAGAAATATTTTCGTAGATATATGCCGGTTCTCGGTTCGAGATGAAAGGAGGGGTGAATGCTAATTTGTAACACGGCTGTTCATGTTGTGTTCTTAATTATTAACAGCTCTAAGAACCATGAGGTTTTCAACATCTAAAATTTGTTTTCGTAGACCGCAAAAAATGTGCATGTGCATTTAAAATATTAAATACAGTCAAAAGTCGTTAATTCGGACACCCATAATCCGGAATGATCTATAATCCGGACCTCAAAGCTACAAACTTTCTGCGCATGCGTAGCGTTGACGCATGCGCGTAAGACCTTTACCGCTGCGAATTTGCGTGTGCGCGTGCGCAAAATACGTTTACGAATGCGCGTTTAATGTATAACGGACGGGATAAGCTAAGCTAAAATTATCTAATTATCTATTTCCGTTAATGTTGCAGATTGTGTTGTTCCTTAATCTTCGAATTGGATTCGGATTATTATTTTTTTGCAGACTGTTAGAGCAATTTTATAAAAGTAAGCTTGAACTTTCGATTATGTCAAATAGAATTTCCGATATATATTTGCTATAAGTAAAGGATATCCAAAGCGAAAGTATCTTTCCGAGTCCATTAAACAAAAAGTGGAATTGCTGCAAAAAATGGATAAAAGCATATCCTTTGTTTATCTAAACTTTGTTTATCTTTAACGCCGCGGCGGCGTGAAATGAATTGGAAGTTGATCTGTCAGCACTATCCTTATCTTAAGGACAGATGTTTTTATTTTATTTGGCTTATAATTGCTTACTCAATGTAGTATTTCATCTCGTCTTTGATATGATTTAAATCAAATGCCTCGTCATTATAATTCGCTTCCGATAGGGAAGAAAGTGTCAGAGGTTATTGAAAACGAAAAAATTTCGATTGACAAATTTGTTGGTATTCTCGACACAGCAATTATAGGACTTGAACAGCGGAACTTTGTAACTGAACAAGAAATTATGTCTGTTTATAGAATTAAAGAGAATGTATTATCACATAAAAAACGAAGCAGCTTAAACAACTTACATTGAAAGAAATGTTTAATAAAGTAAACAAATAAATATTAAGCTTTTTTTTTGTAAATTTTGATACCCTTTAGATCATAATTGTTCTTTATTTCATAAATTACGGTTTCATATTTTTAATTTTATAATTTTTGCATGCCATTTTACCAGATTTAAACTGATGATCTATAATCCGGAAAAATCGATAATCCGGAATCGCCGAAGTCCCGACGAGTCCGGATTAACGACTTTTGACTGTAATGCTTTTATTTTTATTATTGATTATTGTCATCTAAAATTATGAAAAGAAATAAATTTTTATGGCGTAAAATTTTAACAAGATAATATATTGTTAATGCTTTTCTAACAATAACCTTTCAGAGGATAGCAGGTGTGACATAAATAGATGATTAAATTGAAATAAAAAAATATTGATTATCTAAGATGACAGAATAGTTTGATGCATCACCATGGTCATCAAAATTAGCAAACTACTGCTGTTGTAAGGAATATATTGTTTTCTGTGTTAACTGGAATTTAAGACAATTTTTTTTCGTATATCACGTTTAACCGGTAAATTTCAGTATATTAATACTAATTTATATTTTTTAAATGAATTTATATTTCCGTTATAAATGCTTATATATTGTCTTATGCTTAATAATATATTCTTTTCTGTGCTAACTTGAATTTAATACAAATTTATTTTCGTATATCACATTTAACCGGTTAGTTTTACATCTACATGCTTATTATCTGTAAATTTTTACTACCATAATGCTTAATATATTGTTTTATCTACTAACTTGAATTTACATGCACTAAAAATCAAGTTTATGGCTCGGCTCATCGTTAGCTTGGCGAGTAAAAATGCAACGGCGCCAACGGGTTCTCTGCGGATGAAAACCCAAAATACCTTATAAAGTTCCCTTTCTTTTTTAAAGTAACATAATGCTAAATTTCCAAGGGAAACCTATACCTTGGTGTGCTCCTTGCATAATTTTAAAATGTATATGCATTTATCCTTTTTTTTTTTTTTTTTTTTTGAAGCAATTCCACTTTTTATTTAATTGGCATTGAAACATGCTTTCAAATCCTGCAGCAACACTTTTCATTATAATAAAAAATTCAAATTTTAATTTTGATAAAATAGCTGTAATAATAATAGTGCATAAAAAATAATGTGCTGGATCAAATCAGAAAGTTAAGAAAGAGTGCAATTTGCTATGTTCACTGAACTTAAGTGCCATGGAATCCTTCTCTCTTCTCCATTGCTATGCAAATGAAATAATGTCTTGCCAATGAAATAATATACAATGTCTTGGGGCTTACAATAAAACATTTTGCATTTATAATAATTAAAATACATCTCATGATTTTCAACATGTATTGATTCTAAAAAAATATTCAGAGAAAAAAAGCTTTGCCTTTCCCTAAAAAAATTTAATATTTTGATCTGAAGTCACAATATTAGTAAATATAAAAGATTATACAACCTAATAAACTTCATAAAATGTTTATATAAAAAAAGGAATATTCTAATAAAACATTTACACATATTCATCAAATTTAACAAAGAAGTGATTACTTTATATTTCACACATATTTATTTAAAAAGCACGACATTCACCAAAAAACTAATTTTGACAGCCAGAATCTGGATATTATATGGGCAAAGAGCAGGGCTTTCGCTTGGAATTTATTCATATACATTTACAGAAATCCATATATATATATATACAAACACAGACATATAATTTTTTTTTTTAATTAAAAGCACATTAAGGACACAGGATTAACAAATAATTCATATATAAATGTGTATTTGCAATAAAAACTTTCATTTATAAATACATATAAATACGAAATAAAAATATATCTACAATGTATTTAAATTAAGTCCACATATCTTCAAAGGTATGCATATTAAGTCACAATAAGCTATCCTTAAAAGATTACACACATATATACAATAGTTTATTTCTAATTGAAAATACGCAATTAAAAAGGTCTACCAAAGTAGCACCTAAAGAAATTTAAACACATGGTTCTGAAACAAATCAAGTCCATTTTAATGTAAATATTTAGATGTCATTAATAAGCTCGAAAACTATACGGTTCCGAAGTTTTTTATATTGAAGTAAATTTGCATTTTATGTAGACTTTAAAATTCCTTTTAATGAAAAGTTTACTTTCAAGATTTTTAATTAAGAACATACATTTAATGTATATTTTAAGACTACACTTTATATATTTATAATTTCATGAGACAGTGTAATCACTATAAGAGCAAAATCTGATTTAACTGAAAGCACATATCAAAACACTCTATTATCAAAAATCAAAACTGCAGATTTTTCCTATAAGGCTTCAATATGAAAAACAAAACAGAAAGTAAACCGAAAAATTCTAATATTTTTCAAGCACTTCAACAGGTTACTACGAGATATGGAAACAAAAAGTAAAGTGTAATCAACCGTATAAAACTTACCTCGAGGGGGTAATTAATAAACTGATACGTCTGACAAGTTCAGGCTTAAAAGATTAAGTTAGAATAGTGAGGTTAGCATACAGGAGGCACTGCAAGAACAAAATTCTCTTCATCATTCTACATAATTAGTATAAGATGGGAGAACTCTCCATTCGGCAGAAACGCAATCTTCATCATTTACCTGTCAAACCGAAGCGAGAGTAGCATCCCAGACCTGTCAGGTAAATCAAAGATTTACCACAGGAACTCCATCACATTTTGAAATGTCCACTGAATATATATGAGATTGGAACTATTAATGACGAGTAGTCTATGATATCCATACATTCCATCATGTAAAGGAGAGAAAATCAGATCCATAATATGAAAAGCCTTCTCAAAAACATAAAATTTTAGCCGTTATCATCACCACTAGCACTCGAGTTCACAGCCTACGGAGCTAGCGCCCTCTGTTTATTATTTTATTTTTTATGTTGACAGGTGAGTTCATGTCACGGTTCAACAATCTTTCGGTAACGACAGGAGCTTTTGATGCTAATGATGTGCTAATGATGTACGTTCATTCTCATAACTATAAATAACCTGAGCAAATTTTAGAAAAAAATTAATTTGAATTGCTTTATTATTTTGCAAGCATTGAGTCTGTATCGCAAAAAATATTTAAATCTCATTTTGTTGAATCACAAAGGTCAATCATATATTTTACTTTACACCGAAAAAAAAAACCCTCCAATCTATTGAAGTGGAACTGAAAGAAAAATTTTATACACTAATACATAGAAAATAATTATAAATTACTTCAAAATTTTTGATAAATCAAACTTCAATCATTGAAAGTAAAAGTGATAATACTTATATACATAAGTAATCGTCGGAAACATTTCAACAATCTTCTATACATGTCATTATAAGTTTTGTTATTGTATATATTTAGAAATCACATGTTTTTTTAAGGTATCTGACCATAAATTCTTAAAATATAAAATAATTTTCATAGCGAAAAACTTTCACTTTAACTCCAGCTGGTCCGAGGTTCGTCTGCAATTAAGACATATGTGATAATCTGATACTGTATGCCTTAAATAATGTACTTTTAATTTCATTCGTGTGCCATGTATAAATTTAGTCATAAAACATAATAAAATAATCATTAAGTAATATCTTCTCTTTAATAAATTTATTAAAGTTTATTTTAAAATTTATAACTCGACAGTTTTTTTATTACGCCCTTTGTGCATTAATTCATAAATAATATGATTTCTTTCCAACAAATGCACTTATTTTACTGTAAACATGACATTACTCAGACTACTGAAAATATCATTATTAAATTTACAGAAGAAAAGTGTTTGGAATACAAGTTCTCTTATAACTGACATTTTACCCTGCGATGAAATAGTGAATAAATATTCCAAACTTTTTATCCGAAGCCTTTTCTTATATTTTTCAACATAGTAAGTATTTTTGTCATTATAACGTGCTGTCTGTTATATAGTTTTGTTAAATTGTGTGAGATCATCGATACAAAATTATATTAAGGAATAGAAGCGTGTATTTCAGATGTTCAGCTTCATGTATATATTTGCATAGTTTTAGGTTTCCTTCATACTATTGTATAACCTTCACCTTTCGTATAAATTCAATTCACATTTTTTTGTAGATCCTGGAAAAACGGAATAAATTACATGCATAAGATCCTAAAACTGTTTGATATAAATTACATTTGTATAGGGTTTTACATTTTCCACTTTTATTTTATTTTGGATACTGTTTTAACTAGATCTTAGATAACGTTCTTTAAGAAGTATGATTAGAGTTGCATTTTACAACGGAGATTTCTGAATAGATGTGTTTACTTCTCTTTGTAATTAAATATTTTCTCTATAGAATTAAGAGAAAAAAAAAAAAAAAAAAAAAAAATTATTTTTTGCATCATAGCTTATATAATATTTGATGTTATGCTTTTTAGTTATTTTCATTTATTTCAAATATCTTAAGCTTATATTATCAAGTATTACTGGCTCATAGTATATTTCATATTCCTCTCTAAGGAAAAAAAAAGAGAAAATAAGTACCGTAAAATTCCATAATATATATGTGTTTTCTAAACAATTGCTCAACGATGATTGTTGAATTTGAAAATGAGAGCCAAATGGATTACTTTTAGTGGATATAATAGCTTTTTTTATTGGATCGATGTGTTTATCTTCAAGGGCAAAGCAAATAATATATGATGTTTCAAAGAATGATAGCATTTCAAATTAAAATTAATTTATGACAGTTTAATTAATTTTAGTATTGTTTTGAAATTCAGTTTGAACATAGTCATGTGAATAATAACTTTCGACTTTGTGCTTGTTTGTTTTTTTACACAATCTCGTGCTTAGCACTGAGTGTGCATGAGTGTTCACGCACAAATGATCTGCAAATCGGATAATGCACACCCAGATAATCAAGAGTATACTGTATATAATTTAGTACTTTTTCTTTGTTGAATCTTGAATGCAATTTGAAAGCTAGTTTTATTAATTCGAGCGACTATTTAACTCTTTAAATAAAATATAAATAATCTTTGAAAGGGAAAAAAAAGCATAAAATAAGAATTTTATGGTACTTTTCAGTTATCAGAAGCGATTTCACAAGTATATATATTTATGCACATCTTGATGTATTTATGATGAACACATGCATCCATATGTATACACATACATACATGCATTTTTGGACCTGGTCCTGATAACAGAACAGCACCAATTTTTTTTTATCGTGCCTATAGCTAATGCAGAATATTTTGTAATGTAAGTTACTTCAACTTCCTTTGTTCAGTATTTTATGTAAAATTATTTATTTAACGGATTTGAAAAATGAAGTATCAAAAAAGACATTAAAAATTATGATTTTTGTGACTTATTTTATTTTATTTCCCATGTTATTGCTATTAAAAAATCTCTCCCATGAAAACCTATTTTGATAAAAATAAAATTTAATTTATTGGAATACCCAGGTCCTTCTTAGAAGCACAACATGAAAAACTGTTCTCTTGCCAATGCATCATTTTTTGTGAAGATGCAGGCAGCTTTATAACAATTCATCATTTTACTGGACACTTATCCAGTGTGGACACTTATCCAAAACTCCAGTTTTTCATAAAGGTTCCAAAAATTTATTTAATTAACTAATCAGTAATTGAAATGTCATGAAATCAGTCAGTTGTGAATATTTGTAAATATAACGCTGATTTTTGTTGTTTGACTTCTGAATTAATAATTGAAAAGAGGTTATCTTGAAGAAAGAAAGCTTTTTTTTTTTTCAGTCATCACCATGTAAAAATAAAATATGACTCAAAACTAAAGAGAAGGCTTTTTCTGAATTTAAAACCGTGTGCTGATATTCACTATTCTATTATTTGGTACTTTCTGCATTATCATCATGATAAAAGATTTCAGTCATTTAATTCTCATTTAGCATTTCTGCAGATGAGGCATTAATCAGAAAGTTTCCATTTTTTTTTTGCCATATCCGAAGACCTTCAGATTTACAACTATCATCATCTTGATGAAACTTGGTAGCTGGCAATAAATTTAATAAGTATTATTATCTGCAGATTTACCTTCTCATAATCTTGCAATGCCCCACACATCAGATTTTGTATTAAAATATTTCTAGAATTCTTGGAATGGCTTACATCAGCATTGTTTCTTAAAATGTTATATCTGCATTTCAGTGCACATGAAATTCTGACAGCCATCAGTCTGACTGACAGAGGTGAAATTTTAGGAAAGGATAAAATTGCAGACATTATCATTATAATAATAGATGGAATAAAATAATAGCCTTGAATGGCCCGATATGGGGTATATACAGGATTCTTTGCCAATGTGGTTTAATTTACATAGTTCAGACTAAGAGAGGCATAAAATTTTGCATTAAAGAACATGAAGCATATGTTAGCAAAAAAGGAAACACAGAGGTCCTCTGTTACCCAGCATTGTTGGTCCAAAAATCACACTTTCCATTTTTGTGTGGCAAAAATTATTCAAAAAACATCTTCCATTGGTGAATTAGATTTTCTAGAGGTGTTTCACATTTAAAAAAATCTTTCTGTTCCAGTTAATGACCCTAATTCTAATCCATCTTTACCTTCATCCTTTAAGGAAATTATGTTTTAATTTTCTTGTTTCATCAATAGATGGTTCCAGTAGCTCAATAGCAAGACAGATTCAGCTATTGTTCAGGCATTTTTATCTTATCTCGTTTATTTGCAGTTTGGCAGCCGAGGTTCCAGAGCTGAAAGTGTAATCGTGGCCAGTGTCAATATAATGTAAATCAATGTATTGTCATTGATTTAAAAGTGACTTACAATTAGTTAAGAGAATCAGTTGTGAGAAATATGACTTTCACAGCACACCAGCTTTTATATAATTCTTAGTCCTTAAAAGAACAAAAATCAATAAAAAAAAAAAAAAAAAAAAAAAAAAGAAAGAAAAAAAGAAGAAAGAACAAGGGAAAAGTATGCAATTTTTATCTTTTTATTTTGAAGCTGAAATCCATTGTTTCAATTGCTTGAGTAGCATTTAATTCATTTACGTACTCAATCTAAATCCATAGCTGTAAACTAGTACTCTTTTATGAAGAAAAATTTTTGCAGCCTTTGGTAAGACCTATACTTTGAAAAAGATTTTTGAGTTTATTTGCCATCAGCATTTGAGGGATGTAATGGATGATAAAATAGTCTTTCCTTAACTGTTTTCCATTTTTCGTCTCATTTCAAGAACAATTTGAGCTTTCCTTCAGATCTTCAAAAGATTTATTACAGAAATAATTCACTTTATAAATATCTGAAAATATGTTTTAAGAAGTACAATCTATTATATTCATTTGTGAGTGAACCTTATAATTTATTTTTAAAATTTATATTTGAAATTTTTTTTTCAACAGGTAAAAAGGCATATAAATGTATATACTACTATGTTTATCTACATGTTATATGCATACACCTACACGTATACATACACGACATATTTTTTGTGATAGTTTTTTAAACTTTTTGTGCTTAGAATAATCCATTTCACAGAAAATTCAGAATCACTAAAGGAATTTCATATGAACATATGAAATAAATTGAAATACAGTCAAAAGTCGATAATCCGGACTCGTCGGGACTTCAGCGATTCCGGATTATCGATTTTTCCGGATCGTAGATCATCAGTTTAAATCTGGTAAAATGGCATGCAGAAATTATAAAATTAAAAATATGAAACCGTAATTTACGAGATAAAGAACTATTATGATCTAAAGGGTATCAAAATTTACAAAAAAAAGCTTAATATTTATTTGTTTACTTTATTAAACATTTCTTTCAATGTAAGTTGTTTAAGCTGCTTCGTTTTTTATGTGATAATACATTCTCTTTAATTCTATAAACAGACATAATTTCTTGTTCAGTTACTAAGTTCCACTGTTCAAGTCCTATAATTGCTGTGTGGAGTATACCGACTAATTTGTCAATCGAAATTTTTTCGTTTTCAATAACCTCTGTCACTTTCTTCGCTATCGGAAGCGAATTATAATGACGAGGCATTTGATTTAAATCATATCAAAGACAGAGTACATCGAGATGAAATACTACATTGAGTAAGCAATTATAAGCCAAATAAAATAAAAACATCTGCCCTTAAGATAAGGATAGTGCTGACAAATCAACTTCCAGTTCATTGCACGCCGCTGCGGCATTAAAGATAAACAAAGTTTAGATAAACAAACGTTAAAGTTTAGATAAACAAAGGACATGCCTTTATCGATTTTTTGCAGCAATTCCACTTTTTGTTTAATGGCCTTCGAAAGATACTTTCGCTTTGTATATCCTTTACATATTAGTAAATATATATCGGAAATTCTATTTGACATAATCGAAAGTTCAAGCTTACTTTTATAAAATTGCTCTAACAGTCTGCAAAAAATAATAAGCCAGATCCAATTTGAAGATTAAGGAACAACGCAATCTGCAACATTAACTGAATTAGATAATTTTAGCTTAGCTTATACCGTCCATTATACATTAAACGTGTATGCGTAAACGTATTATGTGCATGCGCAGACGCATATTCGCAGCCGTAAAGGTCTTTCACATGCGCATGCACAGAAAGTTTGTAGCTTTGAGGTCCGGATTATGGGTGTCTGAATTAATGACTTTTGACTGTATATATTCAAAGTCGCGCTTTCGAGACATGAAGAATGCAATTTGAATTTTGTCAATCGGCTTAGTAGAATGCGAGATGTAGAACTGTCCCCTTTTTTTTTCGCGCACTGTACATTTCAGTGATGTGTAGTGTTACATGTTGTTCTTGCTCCTTATACTCGGATGTCTGACATATGAAATTAGTCAGGTGTATTAGTTATTATACCTTCCAGAAATATGAAATGAAGTTCAGAAATCAGCAAAAATTTCCCTGGTGCAGTCCTATATGTGAGAGATGATGGCAGGGAGATGTATCTCTATTCGGTATGGCAATTTCTAACTAATTGAAAAAAAGTTTTGGCTGTAAATGACAGAGAGATGCCATAAGGTTAGGAGGGAACACTCTGTTATATTCTATTGCCTACATATATGAGTGGAGCTTTGAGATGATCATTATAATACTTTTCACCTATCAGTGCTCAGATTTTTCTTAATCACAAAACTCTGTTAATGAGTAAGCAGATTACATGGTAGTACTGGCTCATGTGTATCCTTTTTTCCCAGTTTGTCAGTAGCAATATTGTCCTCGACGTCTATGTGGGATTAATTAAAGTGAAAATCTTAAGTGAAATTTGTGTCAGCATTGAATTTTTTCTTTTTATGTTTTAAAAGTACCTATATTATTATGATAAAATAGTTATGTTTTTCAGCTATAATTAAAATTGTTGCTTTTTATCATAATAAAGTACATTAAAATTGATTGCTGTGCTCTTTTTTCAGTTCTTCATAAACAGTAACCTTGGAAATGTAGAAATATTGTATAGAAGAATATATAGAAGCAGAACAGAAGTGAGGTATGTCTAAGATAAGATTTTAAAAGTGTTATTAAAAATTCATTTTTATAATAATGCCATACTGTAGTATACGGAAAAAAGATGTTTAACGAGTAGTTGCTATAATGAAAATCAATTTAATGTACTCTAATCAGTTGATGACTTTTTGAACAGGGGTGTGGAGTTGGTAGGGAAAATGACCGACTCCTGGAATTTTAAAGACTCCGACTCCCTGATATATATAGTATATATGTAAACATATCAGGTTCGAATTGTGAAGAAGGCATGGTTGTAACTGTCCATACTTTCGTAGGAGGCAAAGGTGGCCCACATATTAGGTGCCTCTTTAGTAAAGTGACCAGCAGTAAAACTTTCTTGTTTCTGAAATTCCATACTGATCTTCCTGCACTTTATTTCAGTAAGGTAAGAAATTTGGTTCTTGTCAATAAAAAGCCATCTTTGATAGCATTAATAAATTTTATTTAGTCTTTTGAAAGCAAAAACATATGACTGCTCCAGCTTTTTAAAAAAAAAAAAAAATACTAGTACAAATTTTTTTATCAGATATTCAGAACATCTTCTATTGTTGCCATTCCGACAAAGTGTAACTTTATTTCCTTTATTTATAATTTGCGATCTTTACAAGTCCCTGCACGAAAAGCGTATTTGTCACCTTAGAGACAATGCTGCTTATAGTTCAGCAAGAGAGAGTTTGAAAAATACAATAACCCCCCCCCAAAAAAAAAGAAAAGAAAAGAAAAAACAGCAACACAGCTTCTATTCACAACAGTGAAATACAAGTGAGGGTCCTCAAAATATGCAGCTCCCCAAAATAAAATGATTTAATGAACACTAGCATTAAAAGTACATAGGAAAGTACATATATATATATATATGCCATATATGCACTATCGGAAGTAAATACTACAGTTTTAAATTAATACTATTGGGAGTATTTTAAATTTGTGTAATGAAAATAAGTTTTCTTTATACAGTCAAAAGTCTTTAATCCGGACTTGTCAGGACTTCGGCAATTCCGGATTATAGATTATCAGTTTAAATCTGGTAAGATGGCATGCAGAAATTATAAAATTAAAAATATGAAACCGTAATTTATGAAATAAAGAGCAATTATGATCCAAAGGTTATCAAAATTTGCAAAAAAAAAAGTTTACTATTTATTTGTTTACTTTATTAAACATTTCTTTCAACGCGCGCATGCGTAAAGCATACATTACGCATAGTCAAAATTAGAAAATTGCAACCAGAAAACTATTTGATGTGTACTCGTGATATTTATAATGACGAGAAATTTGATTTAAATCACATCAAAGACGGAATACATCCAGATGAAATACTACATTTAGTAAGGAATTATAAGCTGAAAAAAATAAAAACATCTACCCTGAAGATAAGGATAGTGCTGATGGATCAACTTCCAGTTCATTGCGCGCCGCGATGTCCCCCCCCTTCCCGCAGAGCAGCGTGAAATTGATAAACTGATTTCGGAATGGTTAGAGAAACAAAGGATATATCTTTATCCATTTTTTGCAGCAATTCCACTTTTTGTTTGAATGGACTTCGAAACGTACTTTCGCTTTGTAGATTCCTGTACATATTAGTAAATATATATCGGAAATTCTGTTTGACATAATCGAAAGTTCAAGCTTACTTTTATAAAATTCCTCTAACAGTCTGCAAAAAATAATAAGCCAGATCGAATTCGAAGATTAAGGAACAACGCAATCTGCAACATTAACTGAAATAGATAGTTTTTAGCTTATACCGTCCATTATACATTAAACACGCATGCGTAAACGTATTATGTGCATGCGTAAATGCCTATGCACATGAGTGAACACATTATGCATTGACGCATGGCAGAAAGTTTGTAGCTTTGAGGTCCGGATTATGGGTGTCCAGATTAACGATTTTTGACTGTAATTTAATTTTGTTTATGAGTTAACTGATAACCTTGATAAGGCATCAGCATTCCCATGTGAACTGCCTTTGTGGTATGTCACAGTCATGGTGTAACGTTGTAACGCTAAGGCCCAACAAGACAGTTTAGCACCATGAGGGGCACTTTGGGTCAGGTAGGTGAGGGGAGTGTGGTCAGACATAATTTGCACTTTGGCACTGAAAATCCAAGTGCCAAATTTGGGTCAGGTAGGTGAGGGGAGTGTGGTCAGACATAATTTGCACTTTGGCACTGAAAATCCAAGTGCCAAATTTTTTCAAGGCTTCGATGACACAAAACGCTTCTCTTTTGATGGTCGACCATAATTGTTGACAGAGAGTTTATTGCTGAAAAATGTTATGGGCATTTCTTTCTCATGTTCATCATTTTGAGCTAAACACAATCCAATTGTAAATGCAGATGCATCTGTATAGAGTTGAAAGGGCTTGTCGATGTCCTGAGTATGCAGAGATGGCATTTTTTTAAAATCAGCTCTTCTTTGAGTTAGTTGAAAAATGCTTCCGTTTTAGAGTCCTGCAGAATATTATTTGGAACACTCGTTTTTTCAAGGTTTGTTAGAGGCAAAACTATTTCAGAAAAATTTGGGATATAATCCCTATAGTAACTTGCTAGCCCTAAAATACTTCCAGTGTCTTTTTTAGTAGATAGATTCTGGATGACTTTGACTTTCTTAGGATCTGGAGAGTAAGTGCCAGAATCTATTACGTGACCTAGAAACTTCATGTGACTCTTTCTGAAATCACACTTTTCTAGATTTGTGGTTAGACTTATGTTTCTCAGAGTCTGAAACACTTGGTCTATGTGATGGAGGTGATCATTCCGAGTCTCAGAAAATATTGCTGTATCATCAAGGTATGAATGGCAATATTTCTTATGGTTTGCAAGTACCTTATCCATGTATTTTTGAAAGGAACTGCTGGCATTTTTCAAACAGAAAAGAAGAACTTTCCATTGGTAATGGCCAAAATGAGTGACATATGCTGTATAAAGTTTGTTTCCTTCTTTCATCAGGATTTACAATTTCCCTTAGTTAAATCGAGAACTGTTGTGAATTTGGCTTTCCATATTTCAAAGAGTAAATCTAACTAATCTTTCCATATTTCAAAAAGTAAATCTTCATCGGATAGACATCCTGAACTGTGAAACTATTTAAAAGCCTAAAGTCTATGCATAGTCTTAACTCTATCATTATTTTTTGCAACACATACTAAAAGATATGCCCGTCCACTGTCACTAGGTTCTATAAGTTACCGATCTATCAGTTCTTTAACTTAACGATTAACTTCATCTTGAAGTGAAACAGGCACATGATAAGGTCTTAATCATTTTGAACTACAGTCTGCTGTAACCTTTATGTCATTATCATTGACACTGGCTTGTCCCAATTTCTTAAGAGCAAAGCACCTTTAGAGGACTACTGGTACTAGAGTTTTGACTCAAACTATTCAAAACCATTTCCACCATGTGGTTTGTATGCTCTCAGACTTATGGTTTGTGTTTCGTTGACACAGGTCCATCATGTTGTCAGTAGAAGGTGGGCACAGGAGCATCTCATATGGGAACGAGATGAGTGGAGCAATGTGCTCATGGACGAGTCCCACTTTAGTGTACAATCTCACGATAAACGGATTCTCATTTAAAGGGGCCCTCCAGCGGTAAAGTCGCTGAACACTGTTAGTTCGGTCCGAGGTTCGAATCCCGCGAACGGGCTGGCTGCATGGGTGTTTTCGTAGTTTTCCCCATGTGTAACATGTATACGAGCCAGTTTCCCTTAGAAAGTCCTCCACGAAGGCATCTCTTCTCTTAGGCAGATAGCCCTAGTGTGCTTTGCCATAATTAAATACACCACACCACCTCATTTAAAGAGAATCCCGTATGTAATACTCATCCATTTGTGCATGAAAGTGCTCTATTTGACTGAGGTGAAGTGATGATTTGGGTCAATATTTCTGTCATTGACTGTACCAACTTGCACATTATCAGGAATGGAGCACTAATGGCTCAGTGATATAGGGGTGAGATCCTCAGACCAGTTGTGTTCCTTTATGCTGTAGCAGTTAGGGATGAATTCATTCTAATGAACGATGACGCCAGGCCCCATCCAGCTGAATATATATATTTTTTTTTCAATAAAGAAATCTTTCAAATGGGTTGGCCAGTATGTTTCTCTTATAAATCCAATACAACATGTTTGGAACATTCTAGGGAGAAGAGTTGCTAGTCGTTTATCACATCCAGAAATAATTCAGCAGTTAAAAAGCTGTCTTCTACAGGAGTGGGAGAGAATGCTCCAGTTTTTCATCAATAACCTCATTCATTCCTTGCCTCCTAGTTGAGCAACATTGCTTTTGATCAGGGGAATCTTACCCCTTATTGACACTCATTTGTTTTCGAGAAAACACATTTTTTGTCTATTTGTATAACATGTATAAATTGTACATTTTTTGTTTACTGACACATTTCATCAAAAAAAATTTATTCCTTGTTCATAGCTCCATCTTATCCAAATCATAATATTCCCTAACTGTTTGGAGCATAATATATCGACATTGAGTTCTGTTCCATTAAAGTCTGTATTATAAAATTTACCCATGTTTTTACATTTCTTTTCAAGATCCTTATCAACATTATTCTTATTTAATAAATTTTCTACATTCAATGAATATCCAAATTTGTCAAGATCACATAGTTAATTGGAATTAAGATCACGTAGTCGTGTAAATCGTATACTTATTTCATGCTGTAGATGATCAGGAGCATTTTTCATAACTCGAGAAATTTCACTTTCTGCAGAAAGGCCAATTCTACAGACATTTCTCAGCATCTTCTAACACGGATTATTGTACCAATACATGATTTTTCACAAAGAGACGTTATCTTTTTACAGATATCGTCTCAAATTTCTGCAAGCCCAGTTGCTAATGATTCATGATCTTGCAATGCTCGCATAAAATTCATTTCAGGTAAATGTAATCTGAGCTGCACACAATTAGTTCTCCTGAAGATTAATGCCAGAAATGGATTTAAATTATAAAATTAAAATTCAATGTATTTTGCAATAAAATTGTAGCTTCACTTCTGGTGTCACTTGAGTAGAACTGTCCACTGCTAATTTTTCTAATAGTTCTACTAATGCTTCCAGCCCATCTACAGTAACACTAACCGCTTGTGCTCTAGCACTCTATTTTGTTTCAGATTCATGTTTAACAGTTTTCTATAAAGCATTTTTTAATTTCCATTGTAATGTTTGTTAATGAAATCTGATCGGAATTTAATTTTTCTAAATTATATTTTCAACTGAGGCTACATCTTTATCATGTGCTTCAATAAATTCCCAAAAAGATCTTTTGATAGAAACTTTTCTGCTGGTAAAATCAATTTCTTCATACCTAAAAACTTGCGACATTTGTTCTCGATGAGCTATGTCAGGAGTCGAGCCAAATAAAAGTCCATAATATTAATTTCTTTTGATGTGACTTACTATTTGTTTATTACAGTGTTGCAGCCGAATTAATAATAGTTCAATGTCGAAGGGCTTATAATATAATAGAAGACTACAGTGCATTGTTTGTTATCAATTTAAAATAACAAGCACGAGCTGTAAGTCTATTTCATTTAAAAAAATATAAATATTTCTCTATTTTAGAAAAATAACATGCTCAGAAAGAAGGAAGAAAGAACGTTTTATGTAAGGAGATATTTGATTGATTTACTGCAAACATTATTTATAACATATTTCATCAGACAAACCAAGTAAGGAAGTAATTAATTATCTTACAATAATTATTTATTTAAAATGTATTTCCCAGAAATCGATCAAAATAAAAAGTGAAATTGTTTGGAAAATCTTGTTTCTCTTGGGGACCATTTGGTGCACCTTTGCGATTGACGCCCAAGGCATGACAAACCCCTTGTCCCCCTCTCACTACACCACTGATTGGTTGTAGCATCACAGTTGGGTTTGGCAGCAAATATTCAACCTGTATAGAACTCAATTCTGGAAGGTTATTGTGGCTTGTTGCAATTACTCACAAATAAGAGAATTTTATGCTGTTCCCTAAAAAGCTGGGGTCTGGGTCATAATCCCGACAGCCGAAATTCCGACAAGCCAGAATCCCGACTGTCCAAAACCCCGACAGAGCCGAAATCCTGACAACCCAAAGTCCCGACACGATCGAAATCCCAAGGGTCATAATCCCGAGTGTCCAGAATCCCGACTGTCCAAAATCCCGACAAGTTAATATCTAAATACAAACACTCAATTTAGCTAATAAAATACAATTTTTAACTAACTATTACATATACTAATTAAAAGTTTAAAATCAAAAAAATCATAAAAATTATGTCATTACTTAAAAATAATTTTTAACAAATTGAAATGACCGTTAAAATTTGAAATGAAGATTTATAAAATTCTTTTTATTAAGAAAAAGAAAACATCACTTACACATGCAAACGACATATTTACAGTGTCACATTGTGAGCGATAGCACGAAGGTATTCCATCACAGGTCGATTATCACGATCGTCCACAACAGTCATAATTCTCCTTTCTCTGTCATCATCTACCTTCCTACATTTTGGTTGTTCTCCGCAAAGAATGCATTCATTCAACTTGGTATTCCACATGCTCCTGTTCTTTTTGAAATCCTTCTATGATGTTATAAACGCCAACATGGCCCGTCCAATTAAGGTCTCCTTCTTCTGTGCCAATCCTCGACAGCATTTTGAGTGCGCAGAGAGCATTTATAGCTGCCTTTCTTTTCACTAATGATTCTAGATGGCCTCAGTTCAATATTATTTTCTTCAGCGAAATCTTGGAATAATCTTTGGAATTTTCTTCAGATTTGCTAGTCATCAAAGCATATACTAGTTGCAGCTGTGGAAGTATGTTAAGGGGTCATTAGGCCTTATTGTGATTTCGCCCGTGTCTGTATTTTGACCCTGTCGGGATATTGGACAATCGGGATTGTGGATTGTCGAGATTTCGACCCTGTCGGGATTTCAGCTGTCGGGATTATGTCCGGATACCAAAAAGCTGCTCATCTATTCCTTTTAACCAGTTATTGAAGATGTTATCCATACTTTTTTATTAGATACATAATCAACTGGCAGTGTTTGAATTCCTTTAAGACACAATGGATTAATAAATAAGAGAATAATAAGAGACTTTTATGCTTTTCCTTCAAAAGCTGCTCATCTATTCCTTTTAATGAGTTACTGAAGATGTCTCATGTCATCCATGCTTTTGTATTGGATACATAATCAACTGGCAGTGTTTGAATTCCTTTAAGATACAATGGATTAATAAATAAGAGAATAAATTTTATGCTTTTCCCTCAAAAGCTGTTCATCTATTCCTTTTAATGAGTTACTGAAGGTGTCTCATGTCATCTATGCTTTTATATTGGATACATAATCATCTGACAGTGTTCGAATTCCTTTAAGACACAAAAAATTCTTGGACTTTCCAGTCACTAATAATCACATTTTGCTCCAATCTATATTAGAACAAAGTAAAACTGTAATCCTCTGTTTGCTTTTTTTACCTCCTATGCAAGGATCCCCTTTATAATGCAGTGTCTTTTTTACCAGAAGTTCATGAAAAAAATTCAGTTTAGTCTACATTAAAATATCTTTTGGCAGGTAACTAGAAAAAAGCTGTAGTAGTTTCCTACTGAAATTAGTGCACACATCAGAGCTTTGGCCACGTGCAGCTTGGTAAGAAATATTGTGCCTTGACTTAAATTGAGAAAGCCATGCATTTAAAATCTTCAGTACTAATTTGACTTGACAATTCTTTGTCTGCAATAGGAGTCCATTTGTCAGAAAATTTCTAGATCTAGCCTCCTGAAACCATACAGTAAAGCTTTTTCTGGATCTTCTTGGAGTGCATTTCCTTCCTCTAGCAAATTTAGATTTTTTCTATAAATCTAAAATTTATTCCTTGTTTTTCAAATAAGTTGACAAGCTATTTTTTTAATTCCATAGTCAGCTGCTAACTTTGTTTTCCATTCTGTACTTTTTTTAAAATTTCTACCTTTCTCTCCAAAGTTAGTGTTTTGTACTTTCTATGTGTAGACATCCTGAAATTTTACACATTCACACCACATACTGAGGAAGGAAAACTAAAGCATATTAATTTGTTTTGCAATGCAGGCATAACTGAGGGAGCTCTCTAGAATCTGTAGTAAAGACTGGTTTTTCTGAAATTCTAAGAAAATTGCTAACAGATAAACAAATGATTCTCCCCCTTCCCCAACCCTTTCAAAAAGGGTTCTGAATGAATCCAAGGAAAAAGGTTAGGCCAGGGAGCTTTGTGCATTAAGCTGTGATAAGAGGTGGACAGTAGGATAATAGTGGAATGTTTAGCAGAAGTGCAATAGTTTAAGAACACAGGCATGTGCCTCTTTACACAGGAAAGAAATACGGATGAATTTTACACACAAAGTAACAAATACAGTGTGTATTTTCTCCTCTTTTTTGCCAAATTTTTAGTTTGAATTAATGAGAAATTTTTAATATTAAAGCCCCGTTCACATGCAACGCTCCTTCACACAGCTGCCGTTAGCAAGAGGAGAAAAAGGAGACATGAAAGAGTTTCGTCTTTAGGACCCGTTCAGAAGACCACCCGCTGCCTTCCCCTTTACACCTAAGCCTCTGCGAACAATCACGTCTCTGAATTGGCAGATTTCTAATACTGTTTACACATTTTTAATGTTGTTTATTGTTGTTAATTTTGTAATCTGTACTTTCGCAACTGGTACCTGAACTTTGGTAATAAATGGTTCCTGAATAATGTATGCTTTTTAATTATTATTATTATATTTTATAAGCTGTTATCTTGGTGCTTGTCGCTATGGTTAAAAGATGGTCGTGGATTTTTAAACTGGTTCCCGATAAGATATAGAACTCAAACTTTGTACATACACTGCTTGTGGATGTGGTGTGTCACGCTTTTGATTTTTAGAGGATTAGATTTTTTTCAAATTTAAAGTTGAAAAGACTTTTTGCAAATATTAACAAATAAACTGAGAATCTCAGAATATTATAGTTTGCACCATAACGCACTGTGGAGGAAAAAAAATAACTGAAATTTTTAGCATAATTTTTTTAAAAATATTTTGGGAGAATTTTTAAAAATTGTTCATATTTTTAGACTTTTTGACGCCCATTAATTTTAAAATTTCATATCTAAAAATATATCGGTTACAAACTTCCGACATTTTCACAGCTCATAAAACAAACTTTTTGCTTTTTAAAAAAAAAGGATAAATGAAATTAATTGGACGATTTTTTTATTTTTTTGAAAGATATGCAATGAAGCAGAATGGGAAATATTGGTTCTTCTTGGCATCAATTCGAAACATCGGTTTCAAAGTAATAATCTCATTATACCACACTATTTTTATGACATTATTTATGCTATATAAGTTGTTATTGTTGCCAGTTGTTAGTTTAGGGTGAGATTGGAGATATTTCTGAGTTAACTTTTTAAGATGCGCTTTGCATTCCGTTGTGTTTAACATTCTTATTAGATTGAAGCATAACTACTGATTATACTTAGTGATATTCTAAACACTTGTACGAGTATTTCTGTGGAAAATTCCAGAACTTTGAAGTGTTTATGTTGATAAAATAAATTTAATTAAGCTATCATCGGATTTGAGTGCAATGACAATCATTTACGAAACTATTATCAATCTATTACAAACCCACGCATACAACAATATTATAATTAATTAATGTATTAAAATTGTTTTGAACGTGTTTTACAAAACAAAAACAGGTAAAGAAAAATTCTGCTTGCATTTTATGAGTTTTTGCAATTTTTCTGGCCACATAAGGTTTTAAAAAAAGGTTTGTAATTTATGTTTATATCTACCAATTGAATAAATAGCACTAAATTTGATTTATATACATATGTGTCTATTGAAATTCAGTAATAAAATTTTAAAATTTGAAATGATTAAATGTCTATTTAGACAGTTTGTATTCTTTAAATTACAAATGCAAACTGAGAAACTTTTTGCATTTTTTTCAATAAATCCTTTTACTTAAAAGTCCTAAAACATATACAGGTATGGACTAAATTTTTTATTATTTTTACTGCTTATTTAAAATTATATTTATAGAAACAAGGATGGGTTTTGTAAAATACTGAAAGGAAAAATTATTTGAAATGAAAATGTGACCGAGATCATATTTGTTTTAAAGATTTTAGATAAAAGTGTATTTTTATTTTTTCTCAGAAACTAGTTCATTAACTGCAAAATAATCCCTTGAAGTTATTAAAAACACTCTAATAAATACAACAAAAAAAACCTGGGGGGGAGACATTGAAAATTGTAGGAGAAGAAAAACATTTTAATTGTAAAATTTTTCTTCAAAAATTTAAATTAAAAAAATTACTAGCAAAAACTTTTTTTCAGCTTAAAATTATTTTGTCTCACAAAACCATTTAATAATATTCATAAAAAATAGATGAAAATGCTTAAATTTTTTAAAAAAATCATTCAAAAGGTATCGAGTTCCTTGTCGCGTTGAAGCCGATATGCACTTGTCTTAACTTTAGATTTAATTTGAGCGATATTTCTGGAATACCTAGCATCAGATAACCTTGTCTGCATTTGTCTATAATTTCCGTATCTTGTACAGTTCTATCTAATTTTTTAGGGTATGCTATCGCATCCCCAGACATCTATCAGCGCGACTGTTTCGCTGACAGTCCAGCGAGCAGTAACTAAAATTAAGTGAACCCTGCAGTATAGTACGGGAAATCTCCCCATTTGCCCTGCTCCCGAGAGGTAAGGAACATTCAACCAAGTTCTACCTCCAATTCGGCGAGGCAATTAATGGTTGTCCCAGTCACGTTGGAAGAACCGGTTTTCACTACTGGTCGAATCTGCTCTTGTGAACGAGGCTTAATTCAACAGAGTTTTGGAGGGGGGTTGGATTAGTTAAAATTAGCTGAATTAGAAATAACAAATGTCCAGTGTATTTATGCCCATCATTATTGTTGTGCAAAGAAGAAAGAGCAGTATGTTTGCTTGCAGCTGAAGTCAGGTCAAATATTTATTTTCAGAGTGCGTGTATTATCTTAAAGTTTTATTAATTTTTCATATGGTTACATTGGACAAATCTGTTTATTAATTAGGTATCAAATATTATTCTGAATTCTATTTCTGTCTTATTCTGTTTCTAAATAAAATATTATTTATTAAATTATGCTGTGCAGCCTCAAGATCATGTAGTTTTCAGTTCTATCAGATCCTTTTTCATGTTTATATTTCACATAGATATAAGAACATTTATACAAGATATAGATATAATGCTTTTTACATAATGCTAAGTGGTAAATTTAGCTTCCTGTAGAAGTAGTGGACAGATTCTGTTGAGTTATATTCATTTGCTTTTTGAACACTTTGCTTTATATTGTTACGAAATGTACAGGCGTGATAAGAGGGCTTCCCCGCAATGCAATTTTAGGGTTGCCATAAAATGGCAAGGGAAGGCAGGGTTGCCACATTTGGCGAGGAATCACCCATTTGGCGATATACTGTGGACAGAGGGAGAACCTTCTGGAATGAATTCTTACCAGTTTAGCCCAGAATGTTCTCGAATACAAGCTGAAAGCTATATAAATCCTCCAAGCCCGCAGTCAGTTAGTGTGTGTGTCTTGTCTAGCGAGCTGATAGTCATTGAGTGAGTGTCTCGAAGTCTAGTGCTGAATTGGTCGTCGAGTGCATCGAGAGAGTCTTTTAGTGTATCACGAATTAGTGCATCATCGAGTTTTGTCTTAGACTGTGCTGAGTCGAGAGCTATACTCTTCTGTATCATCGAGTGCATCACGAGTTGTAGCGGGGAGAGTCTCGAGAGTACGTGGAGTTCCGAGAATGACCAAGCAGAGTCGGGAGCTGTACTCGGGTGCTTTGCATTGAAGCTGTCTCGACCGTTATAGCCTGATAGTGTGAAGGCTGTGTCGCTGATCATGTCAGCGTGTTTATAGTAGTTCTTCTACGACTGTAAAACGTGAGTTTGGATCTGTCCTGATTAATATTGGCTAAATAAAGTGTGTTTCGATACTTCATTAAGTGTCGTCATTATTCACTCCAAATCTACGAACCCCATATGAATGTGAAGGAAGAAAATAACGCAACAAGTGGTGTCAGGAAGGAAAAACGTAACAATATCTATAAATGTTATTTGCTTGAATGTTTTTTAACTGTTATGCGACCAGTTATTTGAAAATTTATTAACAAGTAGCTAAATGCATCTTATGATGAAGCAAGTTCTGCAAATTCATGCTCAAATTTCATTCAACCGTATGCTGGTGAAGGGGTTGATTGCTGGTGAAGGGGCAAGTTCCCCCATGTGTAACACGAATATAACCCAGTTTTCCTGAGAAAATCTTTTACAAGAGCATTCCTCTTTAGGCAGATAGCTTTAGTTTACTGTGTCTAAGTTTTTTACCATGTAAATAAGAATCAAAAGTAAACTAGTAAAAAGAGCATTCTGCCATAGGCACCAAATAAAGTGGAAAGTGCCCAAAAGGGAAAAACATATATGTATGAGTAAAAAATATTAAAAACTAACTGTTAAAAAAGATGCTGCTTTACATTTATTTTGAATATCTATTTCAGTCTGTGTAAAACTTCAACCACCAACAATAGTGTAATATGCCATAGTTTGAGAAAGCCTGATCTAGTAAATCCAATCCATTTAGCATAAAGAGTTTCATATGATAATCCTCTTAAATGTGCTAGAAGTAATTCTGTCCTATGTTGTTAATATTCTATAACCAATTTGTAATGATCAGAATAGAAATGAGAAATTATACACCAAAATTGATTGAATCTTTGTACGTGCCATTATGCATATGCATTTATTTCTCATACCTGTTTTCAGATTTGACCAAAAAGGAATGAAGTATTTTGTATGAAGATGTCAGAGACAAGCCAACCGAGTTCTGAGAATGAGTAAGTAATTTTTCTTTTGAATATAAATTATGATTATTTCATATAAATAATGATTCTGCATTGCCTTGAGTTACATAATCTTTATCTGAAAGATGTTATATGAAATAAGAAAGAACTTTATATAACTGAAAATATAACTGTTTGTGAAAATAAAACAGTGATAGTTTTTCTTAAATCAAAATTATCAAGAATTCTGTGTAAATTGGTGTGCCTATATCACATCAAGTGCTTTCAGATGGAAGACTTGATGCAGGGAAGCTCTTATGTAGTATACCCAGGGAACGTGGAAAATTGCCTAATTGATATTTTTTTTTATCATTCTTATTTTAAAAGAGTGTTTTTAACCTGGGACAATTTCAGAAATATATAGCACATTTTTAGATGTTAGATTTTTTTTAAATATTGGATGTGAAATGCTTAAAATGTCAGCAGTTATTGAAAAATTATCAAAAATTAGTAAATTATATTAAAAATTTACTATAAACTTCATTTAACAGATTTTTTTTCTGCCTCATCTTGTGAAATGAACATTAAAATTCTGAGATTTTTTAGTTTTTCTTTAAATGAACGTATGTATGAATAATTGCTTTGAGGTGCATAATTTCTTTTTCCTGTTGTGTATTTCGTAGCTCTGGAATTTTCTATCTCTGTGCTATGCAATATGCATACAGGCAAATCTGGTTTATTGCTTTAGGTGTATATTTTTTAATTTTAAATTTTTATGTGTTGATTTATTTTTTCTTGTTTAATAGGAAGAGTAAGAGTAAGAGACCAAGGGGGCCTCGCAAAAGACAAGTTCATAATGAAGTGGAGAGACGACGTAAGGATAAAATCAATGGTTGGATATCTAAAATTGCAGAGCTTCTTCCAAGTAAAGAGTTGCATAAACAAGTAAAATATTGTTTGGTTTATTTTGAATATGTTCTACTTGTGCTTAAACATTTGTGCATTTTAAATTGTATACTTGTTTGCTTTTACATAAATGTTTCTCTTACATTTTAAACATCAATATTTCCTGCATTATTTTTTAATTAGTTCTTCCTAATTGTGAAAAAAAAATATCATGCATGCATTTTATTTCATTTTCAGTTGACTACAGTGTTTGGAAAATAGTATTAATAAATAGAAAAATGAAAACTAATTTTAAATATCTTTTTATTGAAATAGTTGTTAATTTCTCACTGAATCATAATTACTTTTTGATTAAGATTCAGTACCTTTTTAATTATACAAATATTTTTCTACCTTTTCAGTTATTTTTTTTTTTTAATGATATTATGTCTTTCCATTTTAATAGCTTTTCAATATACTCATGCAAACTTTCAAATTAATTGAAGGTTTTTCAAACATAATATTTTAAAATTATAATCTGACTGGGTTACTATTAATCTGATACACATTTCTTATCTGAGAAAATTTCACACATATATTGCTAGGCAAATATAAGATATTTTAAATATAAGTATATATTATCTGCTAATCAAAATTATTGTTTCAAGGGGGGAGTGCTTTAACAGTTTGTCATGTATTTGGTTCAGGGGGGGAAAGAGTTTTGATTTCTGAACACTTTTCTTTAATGTATATTTCTGGCTTCTATCATATTGAAAAACTTTGAAAAATGGTGTAGAAAGTACATGTAAGTAGAAACATTTAAAAAAAAATTGATTTTTTCTATAGATTATCAACATTATATTAATTTACATATGAAAATAATAATTGAATATTTAGCAATAATTAATATAACATACTATGGTAAAGCATCATTTATGAGTCATCTGAAGGATCACTGGCAGAAAAGAAATAAGTACTTATGTGTTATCTCGTTGACTCCGAAAACTGGCTACCATCAAAAGATTAAATTTGGCCGAGATCTTGCCAACCGCTCATGCAAAATTCTGAAGGAACGGATGCCTCTTTATTTAATAAACAATTAGTATTTAATCCACTTCTTTTTCATACTTTGTAAAAAGGCTTTTCTTGATTCCACTATTTTATTAAGACCTCTGATTTTACCAGGAGATCTGTTAATAACACTGTAAGCATAAACTTCCTACAGGGGATTTTTCCAATCTGTTACTTTTTGTCTGTTGTATCCAGTTGTTCTTCTCTGGATTCGATAATTTTCTTGACCAGGTGTAAACAAACTGGAGTGCAATCACAAATATAATTCTATATCCTTCGAATTAATTTTTTTTTTTTTTTTCAAAATTGAGGAACAAAAAATATAGCAATAATAGTTAATTTATATCCTTGTTAATGAAAACAAAAGGTGGCTTATCAAGAATCAGTCAGCATTACATTAGACAAAAGCACTGGTAGTGTGTTGTCGTATAGATAAGTGTGTTTATGCTTATCCATAATTGGCACTGTATCATGTTACTTGGCAAAAGTTTCATGCTTGATGGAATAATATGTAAGTACCAAAAACACCTAAACTTTTCTAACAACTAAACAAGGTGTTCATTCTTAATTAAATAGCACATTTTTGTATGAAGATTATGACATAAATGTAAATGGCGGTTTTTCTTAAAATAAATACTATAGCTGTCATCTGATATGCTGTTTGATTTTCAACTATATTAAGTACTAACTATGCTAACTACCATCCAATTAAAATGTGTTTACAAATGACACAGGAATAAAGCATTTCCCATAAATTAACTTATCTGGTCCGCAGACCTTGTTGTCAGTTCTATTCCTTTAATAAACGCCCCTATCATCACCTGAATCTTTATCAAATCTGAGATAACATCAGGGCTTAATTTCTAAAATCAGAAGTGCTGGAGCCCTATGGAAGGCCATTAGGAAGAAGGGAAAAAATAAAATAACTAATGAAAAATAAAATGACTAATGATTGAAATAATTTTTTAAAAATCTGAAAGGTTTCAGATTTTAAATTACATCCAAAGGGGCGTTTTTTTAACATTTTATGTGTTACCTTTTATTTATAAAATATCATGTTTTTTGCATGTGATCCATAAAATTCAGTTCAAGAGCAGTATCACAAAATAATTTTAAAATGAGCATATTTTTAGAATTTCTGATACACAGTCTCATGCACTGCAGATTAAAATGTTTTTTCTGCACAATGTTGTCATTGCTCGCTTTGAAAGCCTTGAGTTTGTTAATCAAAAATTCAGTAAAGTTTTACAAAATATGAAATCGATAACAAAACAAATTCCAGATGCCCATATTCGCCAGAGAATTACTCTATTCAAAATTTGATGGCTCTAGGCACTGTTGTTTTATCACAATGCAAGAAACATGCATACATTAATGCAGATTCTTCATTATTTAATTTCTTTAAATATAATATAAGGTGGTAATATTTGGTGGCAACAATTTGAAAAGTAAAACAGCGCTAATCGTGAATCGACGCAAATACCAAAATGAAGTTAATAGTCCTTCTGGGCAAATTGTCCCTTTGGACTAATTAAAATTAAATAAAATATAAAGATATAAATAATATTTAATAAATTACTAAATTCATGATAAATAGTTAAATTAAAAAGAAAATTGGGCCTCATCTTATTTGGAGATCCAGCTGGACTTGTATTTCATCCAGAAAACTAGGCAATAGCTTAGGCATCCTCCAGCTGAATTCAAGGCTTGAATATATGGTATAATGTACTATTTCAAGGGATGAGAGAAACAAAAAACATTCTTTTCCCAGCATACCAATGGAAAGAAATAAAACCATTAATGTTGAGAACAGAGAGAATTATAGAAACAGTATGGGAGTATGGGAAGAAATTTTAATGGAGAAATATAGCTTCAGAAACAGAAAGAGAGAAGAGTCCCTTTCTGACTGCGATGCCCTGCCTGCATAATTCTACCTGCCAAGCAGAATGCGAGTGAGCAAAAAAACATCCCCCCCCCCGAATCCTATCTGATAACAACATGTGAACAAATGTAAGGTCTGCGCAAATGAAAATTTTTTTGCCTCGTCTTTGGTTTAATAGCTCAATTCTGTTGGAGCTCTGCAGTGGAAGGTCATTAGCACTGGAAATGCACAACTGTGATAATCGTTTTTAGTACTTTCGGGAACAAAACATTTTACCCACTATCATAAATTCATTGCACTACTTAGAGAATAAGCCTTTGACATGTGAATGGAGGATTTTATTTTGTGAAAAGTGTTAACATCTCCGTCCTTTTTTCCTTTTTTCTAAAGAGGAATGCAAGCATGCATTCAGAAGTTATAATCAGCTTTCAATGCATATTTATTTTTTAAATAAAAATTTTCCCGCTGAAACTGTGTTCCATTTACATAAAAAAAAGTGTTGGAGCCCTTTTATTTAGGGCTCTGGGTGCACTCCGGCTAGAATCACCATTTAGCTTAGAAACTGAGAAGTACCAGAGCCTGTCTCCAGCGCAATTTAAGCTCTAGATAACATAGTCTTCTTTTCTCCGTCTTGTACTCCCAAGAGAAGCAAGTATCATTCAAAAAAAAAAAACGTTTAAAAAAACTGTTTGACTTTTTAAGAGACATGTTTATAAAAATGGTCTAGAAAGAAATGCAATACAAAGTCCAAAATCTGGACATTTAGTTTCCAGAATGCGGAATCCGGAACTCGGGATCATCAACAACCTGTTTTAAAAAAAAATTGTTTTAAGTTTAATGCTTGCACATTACATATTTTTTCATAATAAAGCATGTGGATAATTCCCATCCTTAGTTTTACTTTGGCACTACACTCACCTATGAACACAGCCATTCCTAGCGGGGGTGCAGCACATAAAAGTACGCATGTGGCCAAAATCAGGGGTGGCCAGGCTCTCGCAATACCACACCTAAATTTTTTTAATTCATTGTAAGTACTTGTCATATGTAAGTACTTTTTATACAGTTTGTCATATGTAAGTACTTAGTGAGTATGAAATAAAATTTTTATTAAACATTGAGGGTTTTTTTTTTTTTTTTTTAATTTGGGATCAGCAATCTTGAGAAAGTACGCGGGCAGCCAATAATGCGTATGAACTATTATTTATTATTTTTTGCTTTTATCTCAACATGACTAGCAGCATACTGCAGCTTGAGGAATTGCTCACACAGTGTCAAACATTGTCTAAACAATTTTTAAAAATTTTAATATTAATGATTGATTACCAAAGAGCATGATAACATTTTAGTTGACATTACACTTGGCGATGATTAGACTTCAGCTAATTTTGCTGCGAAGTGTTGAGTGCGTTAATGAGGAGTAATTTGGTTCCATATTCAAGAATTGATTTTGTAAATGATACTCATTGTCTGAAAGATTACATTTAGTGCTTTATGAATTGAGAATAACTGATATTTTATACAGTTAAGCTCAAGGCCTGTGCTAGAGTTAGTTTTACAGTACTAGGTGACAGAGTTAAGGCAAAATTTTTAGAGTTTAGAGGAGCACTCAGCAACAAAATTAAGAGGTGGCAAAATATGAGTATTTAGAGAGGCATTTGGCAGCAGAATTTTGGACCCACAGAGACTGCACCTGGCCACAAAATGTCTAGTGCTGCCCTTGATTAGATTTATGTACAGAGGCTGTTCACACATTTTTTAGACGATGTATATTGTATTCCCAAAACTAAATTACATAAAATTCTTCTGTTTTAAATGTTCTATTTGACATCCCTTATTCTGAACTATCTTTCAACACTGCAACTTCCAGGATAATAATGCCTTTTGAAGTGGCAGAAGAGGTATTCTATCCCATTCCTCCCGAACAGCTTTCCAGAGTCCTGTTAGAGTTTTGGGACAATGTTTGGATAATGCAGTTTTTAAAAGTCCAAAAGCACAAAAATCCATAGGTAACACATCGGGAGATTTAGTAGGGATATCAGTGAAGGGTACGGCCTCGATAATAGTTTGTTCCATTTCTTTTAGGAAATTTACAGTGGATTTTGATGTGTGACTGCTAGCTTTGTCCTGATGGAGTCTCACAGATTGATGGTACTGCGGGTAAAGCGATGGTATTTCATTCAGAAAAATTGGCGATAAAATATGTTCCTGATAGTATTTGGAGTTAATCTTGACATTATTTTTTTCACTCTTTTTATTTTTAACTTGCCATTATAAGAAAAACCCGCAACAATCATGAATCCCGTAGAAAAACTTTCTTTCGATTCTTTGAACCATGTACTTAAATTTTTTATCCCCTTTTATGATAATAAATGGCTCTTTTTTTTTTTTTGTTTTTTTTTGTTTGTTACAATCATTTAAATACACCCATGCTTCATCTATTGTGACAATTGTTTTCTATTTTTCTTTGAATAAGTGTTTCTCATATAGAATTCTGCAGCGTTCCTGTGTTGAGCGATATTGGAAGAAGACGATGCACATTGCATTTTTTTGCTTTCTTAAGATTTAAATCAATGTTTATCATTTTGTTTACAGTAGATACTGAGCATTTTAATGATTTTTGCAGCTGTCCTTTGACTAGGATAACGTTAAACAACGTACCTTTGCAATAGTCAAAGATGTCCGTTTTTTTCCTTGGATACTTGTTTGAAATTTTTGTCCCACTTGAGGCTCCAATTTGACGTTTTTTCCCTTTTTGTTGATGATATTATGTATCGACGTTTTAGATATCACAAAACCATGACTCTCACATCGTTTTTGGATAACGGAGTATGCATATTTCTCTTCGGAAAGAGCGTAAATGTAGCCTTCGAACCACTGCTTTGTTAAATTTGCCATTTTGAATAAAAACAAAACTTTCAAGCCACAGACAATAATTTTGACTTTTAAAAACGTAGTACAATTGCAATTACTTCTTTTGCGGGAAACGATTTTTTATTACCGCTTACCAAAATCGTCTAAGAAATGTGCGAACAGCCTCTGTATATTTGAGACATAGATATGCTGTAAGCATGTGCAAGAAAAATAAGTATAATAAATAACTAAACTAATATAACTCAAGCTTAACTTCCTTAGTGTGTGATTTAGCAAGACAGAATTTAGTGGAACAATATGTTTTTAATTACTAATCTCATAATATATTGCCAATAGTGTATAGTTGATTCTAATTAAGCTTTGTGATCATAAAGCTTTGTGATCATGAAGTTTTTCATTGCAATGACAATGCCCCAATCATCAATCAACTAACAGATAACAAAATCTGTAGTATAGTTCTTAATTGAGAAAATATCACTGTTGATAGTGAAGGCAGTGAATGTTTAAGAATACAAATAAATAAATATTGAGCTTTTTTTTCTTTTGTGTGTGTGTGAATTTTGATTTTCTTAAGGTCATGCATGCTTCGTTATTTCATGAATCAATATTTCCTATTTATTTATTTATTTATTTTATTTATTTTATTATTATTATTTTTGCAATTTCAGCATGTCATATTATTAGAGTTAAACTCGTGATTCATAAAAAATACCAAATCTGGAATCACATATCTCAGACTTTGTTCTATATGTACAACTGAAGTTATGCATCATATATATAAAATAATTCTCTATTAATCTAAATGGGATTGAATCAAGATGTAGATTAAACAGTGTATAAACATAACAACATATATGAACAAGAAACATTTAAAAGAGGCTTTACTGTACATACAAGTAACATTTATTACATAATACTTTGTTTTTGTTTTTCAGAGTAAAATCAGCATTCTAGAGCAAACAGTAGATTATATAAAGCTTTTAGCTGCTGAAAGAGATAAACTTCTGTCTGAAAATCGTTCAGAAGTTCAAGGTATGTACATTTCAAAGTTATTGAAAAGAATTAAAAAATTTATGTTATATATATGCTGTTATACCAAACTTTTTGGAGGTTGGATTTTTAGTGACAGCTCTGCCTTTAAATAACTTTGTTATGGAAAAATTATAGCTAGAAGCACCAAATCTGCATCAATCAAGCATCTTATAAAGCACCAAAATAATGAGGAAAATGAGACAATAACAATAAGAAATGAAAAATTTGCAAAGAGATGCAATTCAGAGAGTGGTTACAGTGTACTTATTGCCCTTATTGTGCACTTGTTGCTGTGATGCAATTAAACTAGTTTTTGCATTTGTTGCCATAATACAAGTAAGCTAATTCTTCAGTGCACAAACATCCACAATTAATGGTCATAACTCAATAAAAACGTTTTCAGAGAGGAAATTAAGAGAACAGGTGAACCTCACTAAGTGTTATCACCTGAAAAGGCAATACAAGTTTTGCTTTGCATATTCATTCATTTTTAAGTGGCTGTTAAATTTTTGTGATAATGAGACACAGTGTGGCAGTTTTAGTTGTTGAGAGTTGCTGGTTGGTGTGACTGTGTTACAAGGTATCTAAACAAAGTGCCAAAACAAGTTTAATGCATATTAAGATGTGTTAGAATTATTTAAATTGGATAAATAAACAGATCAACTATTGAAAACATATTGAGCAACTATTCTAATAAAATTATGTGTTATATACAGCATATTAGTAGCTGCAGTGCTATGGAATGCCATGTTATTATCCATAAACTAAAAGATTATCTCACTATTGTAGTATGCAATAGAAGCAATGTTCTGTTTCTGTATCTGTGGCACTCAGATAGTATAGTGGTTAGGGAAGCTTACTGCAGTACCGAAGGGCCCGGGTTCAAATCCTGGGGAAGGCATGGTTGTAAATATCCATCTCTTCATAGGAGGCAACAGTGGCTGCCTGTTAAGTGCCTCCACAATAAAATGGCCACCATTTCTGTCCTTAGGAGTGACCAGTGCTGAATAGGCAAGTGCCAGCCACTGATTTTTTTTAAACCTTTCTGTGTCTATAACTGTATGCATTCATCCAGCATAATGCAGACTTGGGGTAAGAAAAGTTTTATGCAAATTATAATAATTATAATGTCACAAGCTTATATCAAAAGTAGGGTGAAATCCTTCCCTCCTAGAAAGTTCTGAATTATGAATTGAAGGGAGGCTATGCAGCATAAAATAACTATAAAATACTATTACTGTTAGGGAATTTTTGCAATTCTTAATTGTATTTAATCAGCATTTACATTTATATACTGGAATATGATGCACTTTATAACGACATTACTATTATTAAACACCTTATAAAGATACTACTATAAGGGGGGAAAACTCTTAATAAAGAATTTTTGAATGCTTATGATCAGTGTTTTTTCTGCTATAAGATTCGAATTATGGCATTCTAGGGTAAAAATTGGGATGACATGGTGAACAACTACATTGAACATTTCCTTTTGTCTCAACAATATTGGCCATATTGTTTTGATAATGCTGAACGTAGTTTGCAGTGAAACTCATTCAATAATATTTTTATGCTTTTGTCTTTCCTTACCATGCTCAACAGTTAGCATAAATGTTAAAATGCATAATTATTTTACTCTGTGTTATAGCATTAAGCTGAATTTAATTGTCAAAGTGTAAAAAATCGAGAGAAATTTAATAAATTGAATTCTTTTGCTCTAAATTATTGAATGGTCTTAGTGCAGTGTATATATATAGTGCAAGATTTATTCATGAGGATTCTAGCCTTTTATAAAATTATCACAAAGAAAGATTTCAAGAAATTTTAAAATTTTCTTCTGCTTTTGCAAAATTCCAAAATAAGAATAAATCATAGAAAGAAAATTATTGTTAAGGAATGTATATTTACAAATTCATAAAAAGTACCTATTATGAGATGTAGTTTGTATATTTTGGAGTTCATCCAAAATTTCAAAATTAATTACAGTAAAAAGTCTTTAATCCAGAATCGTCGGGACTTCAGCGATTCCGGATTATTGGTTTTTCCTGATTATAGATCATCAGTTTAAATCTGGTAAGATGGCATGCAGAAATCATAAAATTAAAAATATGAAACCGTAATTTATGAAATAAAGAGCAATTATGATTTAAAGGGTATCAAAATTTACAAAAAAAAAAAAAAGCTTTATATTTATTTGTTTACTTTATTAAACATTTCTTTCAATGTGCGCATGCATAAAGCATACATTACGCATAGTTAAAATTAGAAAATTGCAACCAGAAAACTATTTGATGTGTATTCGGGATATTTATAATGACGAGGAATTTGATTTAAATCATATGAAAGATTGAGTACATCGAGATGAAATACTACATTTAGTAAGGAATTATAAGCTGAATAAAATAAAAACATCTGCCGTGAAGATAAGGACAGTGCTGACAGATCAACTTCCAGTTCATTGCGTCCTGCGTCCCCCCCCTCGCCCGCGGCAGAGCAGCGTGAAATTGATAAACATATTTCGGAATGATTACAGAATCAAAGGATATGCCTTTATCCATTTTTTGCAGCAATTCAGTTTTTTGTTTGATGGACATCGGAACATGCTTTCGCTTTGTAGATCCGTTGGTAGTTCCAGAATCGGAAATTCTTTTTGACATAATCGAGCTTCTTTTAGTTCAAGCTTACTTTTATAAAATTGCTCTAACAGTCTGAAAAAAATAATAAGCCGGATCCAATTAGAAGATTAAGGAAAAACGCAATCTGCAACATTAACTGAAATAGATAATTAGATAATTTTAGCTTAGCTTATACCATCTGTTATACATTAAATCCACATGCATAAATGTATTAGGCGCATGCTCAAAGGTATTATGCGCATACGTTGATGCATGTGCAGAAAGTCTGTAGCTTTGAGGTTTGGATTATAGATCATTCCGGATTATGAACGTCCGAATTAAAGTCTTTTGACTGTACTGAATTGTAAGAAATTTTCGAAACTGCAATTAAAAGCTGAAAGAGATAATCTTATTGATTTAATCTCACTGCTGTTTTTCATTACTTTTAATAGTTTTCTGTTTGATTATTTTCTTTGGAAATGAATTCAGTGACTGTTTATCCAGATTTTGTCTATATTTTCTTACTATTATTTCACATTAAAAATGTTCTTTACTGTCTGGCAGTAATTTTTAGTACTTCTTATCAGCATTTTAAACAGTCATACTCCTTCTTATTTGATGTTTTACTTCTTTTTAAGTATTTTCATTTTTATTTAACAAATAGATTTTAATTCTAGTGGTTTTGCTTATGCAGATAGGTAAATTTAAAAAAAAAAAATCTCAATATTACAGAGGGTATTTACTTTGGTATTTTCTAATTTATTTTTTTAAAAAATCCTAGATTTTATTTTATTAGTTTTTAGTATTTTTTTAACTTTATTTTTTGTTCTAAAGTATAACTGCTTCAAAATTTTGTGATTAGTGATGCAAAATATAGAAATTTTTATGTTTAATGACGTGTGACATTTTTTAATCAGTTTTCGTTTACAAAAAAATGTCAAATTTCTTCATATTCCTGTAAGAACAGAAAAAGGTTAATCTACATGTTTAAATTTTTTAATGAATTCATCTTTTATATTGAAATATTTTTAGTTAACATTTTGTTATGTTTCTCGGTGGAAATATAATAAATGTAGAAGAAAATATAGTAATAGTGTCAGAAAATATAGTAATGATGTAAGAATTCATATCTTATTTTCAGTTTTTTATTTTACATGAAATTCTCTAAAAGCATTCTATGAAATGAAGGCAATGAAATCAATTGTTGAAAATAGCTTTTCTTAATTAAAATTTATAAAATAATCTTATTTCCTTTCATTTTTTCAGAGGAAGAAGTAAAGAAATTAAAAAGAGACCTTAAAGTTATTCAGGAACAAAATGCTGTGTATGAAAAGTTGTTGCAACAAGCTAATATTAGTGTAAATTCATTACCAAAGAAGGTTTTGAAGTACAGCGGGAAATTTGAAAAGAAAAATGGTATTTTGTCTGTAAAAAATACAGAGTCAAACACATGTACCAGAATTGACAGTGCAATTCAAGTAAGCTCCGATTTAATTTTAAACATTCCAAACACAAATTGCACTGTTTCTAATGACACTTTAAAACCTTCTGAAACTCCTGTGAGCAAAGTTGCAAAACCTTCTGCCAAAAATATGCAAAATGGGACAAAAGTGCAAAAGATTGCTCCTGTTAGTACTGTTAGCTCTGCTGTAAAATCCTGTATTCCAACTAGTGATATTAACAATCGAGTGAGTTCTTGTGCTGTTATTCCTCCATTTATTACACAAACTGTTTATCAAGGAAACCCAATTACTCAGGAAAATATCGTACCTATTGTAAACTGTAATGAAACTCTTAGAAATTCAGCTTCACTGCATGCTGGTGGTGTTACTACTGTGTTGTCACAATTCCCTGTTATGTCAACAACTCATGATTCATCATTCTCTAGTGTTTGTAATAAGAATGTGCCCACTATTATCATTCCTACAGGTGGTAGCATTTTACAACACTTTTCTGCTGCAGAGAAGCCATCCAATACCATATCTATCATATGTCCAAGTACTTTGCCTATTCTTGTGCCTCAGCAAGTCATTAATGTATCATCTATGGCAAGAAATGTTGGTTTACCATCTACAGTGTTATGTCCTGCTCCAGTCAACAGTCATTGTTCACCAGTGGACAAATCTGCATTATTAAGCTTAACTCCAAGCTCGGTTGTTCCTATTTCATCTAGCATTGCAGCCAATACTAGGATCATATTACCATCCCAAGCCACAGTGCTAAACAATATATGTGACAACACTCTGACACCAAATGCCATATCTGCATTAGTAAATCCTGTGCCACAAGTGCCAGGAGATGCGCTTATAGTGCCTTTTGTCCAGAAACCCTCTGTTGTTTCTTCTGTAAATGCTCCTGTTAAAGTGAACACTTCAGTTACAAATGCATCACACATTGCCAAGCTGGATTTCCAGAGTAAAACTGAAAGTTCTAATACTTCTTTGATTGTAAGTGAGAAAGAAAATTCCTCACTATCGCCATCAAAGGATTTAGAAATAAGCAAAGAAAAGGAAATGCTTTCATCAACCATTTTGCCTTCGAATAGTAGTTCTGAGATCCACAGCTCTTCAAAATGTACAACTGAAAGCAAAAAGGCACTTATGAATAGGGTAATAAACTTGTCTTCAAATTCACCACCATCTTTGCAAGTGCTATCTGCAAATAAAATTATTTCATTAGCTAATCAGTCACAAAAGGTACGAACTAGTCTGGTATTTCCTTTATATCAAAAGTCAACTTCTAAAGCAACATCAGTGTCCTTGCAGCGAAATAATGACAAGTCAGATCATTCCCCGAACAACATATGCTTACAGATAGATACACCAGGTGTTTCTAGCAATGTACCAAGTAATGAGAAAGAACCATTGAATTATAATGCCATGAAAACTGCAACACCTGGTACGAAGTTTTCAGGTGAAACTCTGAAATCAAATTTTTCTCTTACCGTCTTAATGGCAGATGGTAATGATAAAATAAATTCTAATATTTCTCAAAATTTGCAGGCTTCTAAAAGTACTCATGAAATCCCTATTTTACAAACATGTGTTTCTTCTAGTAATACAGCAAGTACTGCAACTACTTCTATTGCTTTTCCCAGCATTCCAGTTTCTGAAGCTATTTTAGATTTTGTTAAAAGAAATAACAATGTTTTTGACAATACATCACAAAACAATGCATCATCGAAAGACTTCAACTCAAATTCTGTAATAGAGGAAGGTAGTACATCAAAACCAAATAATGAGAAGAGTATTGGTAATAATGAGCCTAAATTTCTAGATTTGAATAATGTGAGTGTTTCTTTAAATGTATCTAGTACTTCCAATGCCTTAACAAATTCGCTCTGTTCTGTTGCTAATACATCTGCATCTAAAAATACTGGAACCTCACTCAGCTCATCAGACTGTTCAAAATTAAATCAAGGTTCAAGTTTATGTTACAGTGATAATTCAACATCTTTAAAATGTATTAATTCATTGCAGAATGTTATGCCACAACCCAATCAGTCTTCTGATCTTAACACATCTGCACATATAGATACTGTAAATCCAGCATTTCATGAAAATGGGGCATTTGTAATGAATGACAGTACTTTAAATCAAAATATTTTACCTTCCTTGTTCTCTAACAGCCAAATTGTTACTCTTAATACTCCAATATTTGTATGTTCATCTGGGCAAGAGAACACTGAAAGCGTTCTTCTATCTCAAAATTTACATGTTACAAATGAAATTGCAACCACTGTCAATTCATATATATTATCTAATCCTGCTTCATCATTTTCTAGTCTGAATAAAGATCCAGTATTACCGAACACATTTTCTTCTATACCAACTTGTTCTGATACTGCAAAAAGCTCTGCAGGGTCTGATACTGATGCTGCAGTTTCTGCTTCTAATAATACTCCTGTGGAGAATTTAAGAAGCAAATCTAATGTTTTGAGTAACATAAGATCTAATAAAAGTTTAAATAGTTCTGACAGTGAATGCTCAAAATCTGTTTCTAAGAAAAAGGCTAAAAGTGTGGCAAAAGCTAACAGATCAAATGTAAATGATGCCAAAAATGTAAACTGTGAAAGTATATCAGAAATTAATCCTAATTTTGACATCAACAAATCACAATCGGTTGAAAAATCTAGTTCCTTTGTTAAAGATGCTTCTGGTTGCATGAGACAGGAATCCACTAATTTTCTTTTCACGTCTGATATTTTAGCTCGAGCAACTGAATCTATATTTGGAAATGATGTCTTAGAGACCAATCACATCTCAAAAAGAGATGCCATGTGCTTTTCAGAGGAGTCATCAAATTTAAATAATTCATCTCCTGTCTCTTCAAAATTAGAGGAAAGTAGTTTTAAAGTACAAAATGATGAAGTAAGAGATCACATGGTTATAGAATCTTCTGAGAATACTAAGAAAAGTGATGCAGTGAATGATATGCATAACATAACAATATCTACATGTGTAGAAAATATTCAAGCTAATAATGAAAATATGCATGATATGAATCAGAAACAGAACAGGCCCTGCAGAATTAGAAAAACCAAAACATCTGTAGAGAATGAACCACCCTCTAAGAAATTAAAAGAAGCATCAGATGTTCCTAATAAGTTTGCTAGCACTCACAGTTTTAATAATTCTAAGCAATCTGATAATAGCTCTGAAAAGCAAAGTGATACTGATACTGTTGGCCAAGCAAATATTTCTTGTCCTGAAAAGCAAGCATCATCTGAATCTAGTTCGCCTGGAGTGGACCAATCTGGTATCGATTCAATAGGAAATTTTAACAATCAAATTCATCTGTCAGAAAACATTTGCAAAACACCTTCATCAGTTGATGCAATCTTCTCATTGACACCTATGTTGGGTGATATATTAAAAGATGTTTCTCATGGGATTAATGTTGAATCTAGAAACAGTGGATTTTTACCATGTAATGATAACCAAACTTTGTTTCCTTCTGACAAAAATTTTATTTCTTTCAATTATGTGAATAATTCAAATGAGGAATATTTGAGCTTGCCCAGGATGTATTTTCCTATAATACCTGAAATTACTGCTACTCCAGTTGTACCAGCCACTAATGTTTCTTTTGCTCATAGTGTATCATTGTGTTCCACCCAAAGTGTTTCTCTTAAAACTACTGAAACTCTTTCATCTTCTGAGTCACCTGGAAAATCAGATCCTAAGAAAAAAACTACATCATCTGATATTCATAACAGCCTTCCTAATTCTCTTAGCCAGGAATTAAGCTCTACTAATACACTGGCAAAGCAGTCTGAGTGCATTTTAAAATTTAGTGAATCAGAGCCCCAGTTTAGCATTGGATCTTCTAAAGTATCGAATAATGGTTCCTTACTTTTTGATACTCAAAGTACTGATGTTCATGCTACAAACATAAATGTGACACATTCTAACTTGATCATTCCTCAGAGTGAAGCTAATTTCAATGCACGGGACAATTTCATGCCTATTGTTTCTCATGGTGTAACCTTTTATCCTTCTCTGTCTAGCTCATCTAGTATCCAAAATTTTGTATCTAGTTCATCACCTGCAGTATCTCACTCAAATTATCACTGCAATAATGCAAATAGTATGCCCTATTCGGTTCAAGCATCCAGTTCTGGAAGTAATACCACTTCATTCACTTCACAATCTGCCATGTCAAAGACAGATTCTTTAAGCCATTCCCTTTGCTCTCTTTTGAAAGAAACTACCAATATTTTAGCTGAAAACAGAACTGGATCTACCAGTGCTGTATCATCACAAAGCATCAATTCATCATCATCTGCTAATATTTCACAATCAAAATATTCAGCTTTATCGCTTATAGCTGATCAGACATTTTCTGAACCTGTTTCATCATCGGCCTGTCACACTGATTATGGGCAGAATTCAATGACTTGCACAACTTCAGCATCCGAGATGCAATTTGCTGCTTCATCATCATGTAGCAGAAACCAAAGATCTTCACTTTCATACTCAGCTGAGAGTCTAATACAAACGTCTTGTGCAAATTCTGAGAAAAATAAAAATAAAAATGCTGCTAATTCTAGATATCAGCATCGTTCTACTGAAAAGAAGAATGATCGTAACAGTATGGCAAGTTTGCATAATATAACAGATACAAATATATTCATGCCTGTTTCCAATTGTGACATTAACATCCAGAATGCACCTTTGGTGCCTTTACCTCCAGTAACATCCTTTCATAACTTTCCATCAAGTTACACAATGTGTGAAAGTGTACCATCTACTACTATTTTTAATTCTGTGAGTCGGTCTCATGATATAGCATTATCACTCTCGAATGATAATTTTCTTAATCATATGAATTTGACTGTTGAATCTCAGATGCTAAATAATAGACATGATATGTCTTCAGCTGTTCCTAAACCTTCTAATAGTATCACATTACCCTTTGAAAATCATGGATCGCTTTATAATAATTGTAATTTTTTACCTCCAGTTAAACCTACTTTAGAAAATTCTAGAGCTTCTGAATCCAATGCTTGTTTCCAACCTGCTTCTTTCAATAATAGTTATCCTCAACAATCTCAAAAGCCCAACTGTTGCCATTTCTCACATAGGACTATTGCAACAAATCCTGAACTTCCAGGTGATATGAATTTACCTGTAGTTCCTCCAGTTGCATCATTTCATACAGAGAAAAATAATTTCCAAGCAAACAGATCATCCTTACAGACTACCTTTACTCAAAGCAATGCTAATTATGTAGGAAATTTTTTTTATAATCCAGCAGCTAATGCACGCGATATCAATGACATGACCATGAAACCGTCCAATCTCAGAACATCTCAGGAAACATTTGTGCCTGAAGGAGTTCGTCAGAACATCCATGATCACAATGCTGGAATTATTTTCAATAACCGTAAATCTGTATCTTCAAGCAGATCAAAGTCAAAAAAAGTTAAAAATAACAGCATTAATGAAAGTAACATGAATGTTATTCCTAATTCTATGGTAAACTTCTGTGGTACTCAAGAAGTGTCTTGTAGTAAGGCAAATATATCCTGTGTGCCCAATGGTTATTTTAAGAATAACACACATTCTGTCATTCCACCTCCTGGTCAGCTTTCATGTTCCCAAAATAAAATATCCGAAAGTGCAACAAATACTGTGATACCTGCCAATCCATCTTTTAATTCTGTTTTACATCAACAAGGAGATACATTTTTGAATTTAAATTTCCAACCTTCAAATTTTACCATGAGCCCATTACCAAGACCTCCTACACAGCCTCTATCATGTTCTTGTATAACAACTCCAATAATAAGTCATACATTTTCTTCAACTGCACATCCAGTCCCAAATTTTAATTTAAGTAACATTTTGCCAGACATGGGATGCTCTGCTAACCAAGTTTCTTTATCTCCTGTCAAATTTCCACCCATGAACCATGCCTTACCATCATCTTCAGCACAATGTCAGGCAAATCCTACTATCACTAATTCAGCTCATATTGTATCTCATCAATCTTGTGCCCCTGCACTATACCCTCCTCATCCTCCTATGGTGAGAAATACACTAAATCCAATTTTAAGTCATAATCCTCAGGCGTTGAGTGACAGTCAGGTATCACTTGTTGGTGGTAGTGGAAGTTCAATGATACCACAAAATACTACATTCTCTGCAACACAGAATCCAACTTTTAGAAATGTCATTCATTCTTTGGCCTTTCCTCGCAGTGATCGGTAGTATCAACTCTCCAGAATTATATATATTGCACCAAAGTGTTTCTTGTACAAATATAAGAATATTTTACTTCTTTTCAATTTTATTTCAACTTGACTATGCAAAATATATCCCAAAATGGAAGTAATTTGAGTGTATATTATGAAGCTCTCTGGAATGTACAGGTCAAAGTTCCCAAAAAAGGCATTTTATGAAAACCTATGTAAAAAAGGTAATTAATTAAAAGAAAGAAACTTAATGTTTAAATTTTCGGTTATTTTTATTACTTATTTATTCTAATTGTTATGCTTACTAATAATTTCTTGTAAGTTTGTTTTCAATGGCAGATATACCTGTCTGTATTTATGTATTAATGGCTATATATAACCAATGTAAAATTTCTTAATTTCTAGCACTCTGATAGTGGAGGTATGTTTAAAAATAAATATTAAATGTAAATTATTTAATGTTAAAAGTGGTTTTCTAAAGTTAGAAATTTATGTACTTTTTTAATACTTTTTTTTTACTAACACATACATTAGTGAAACATTTAAGTATTTTCCCTAAATTAAACATTTTTTAAAAATGCCCAGTGACTTGATAAAAAGGAAGCATCATAAGAATGACAGGAATCTATTTTAGTATTTTCATTAAAAAGTTTGTAATTTTCTATGAATTGGTAAATTTATATCAGTTTCATTGTATTTTACATTTTTCTATCATTTGTATGGATTTTTTGGAACATCTCTATTGTCCAAAAATAAATATATTGGGGCACATATTACACATATTAAGTACACAATGTTTTAAAGAAGTTTGTGGTGCTTAGGGATTATTATATTTTTTTCCAAAAGAATAATTGAGCATGGTGTAAAACTACTCTTGCATTAAAAATCACCCCAAGAAAGCAGATAAGGAAGTGACCCTGAAATATTTTTCATTTATATGTACCATCTAGTAAATGAACTTCATAGGGACCTTGATAACTAGAGCTTTCAAAAGTCTTTCTTGCTAAAGTTGTTTTTATCCTAATCTGTGTGTTCATGGGTTAACAAAAAATTTGTAATAATAATTTAAATGAGCAGTTGCACTGTGATTTATTTCAAGAAAGAAAAATACCTGTATTTTCTGTTTATTGGGATAAACTTTGTAATTTTAATTTCAAATACCGGACAAGAAATAAATGTGGAAGCAAAGAGAAGGGATTTAAAATATTGTTTTTGTCTTTCTGTGATTTATTTTTATTAGTTTATGAGAAATAAATCTGATTTTCTAGTTTAAACAAAGCATATTAAAACTTTGGAACAATTATGCCAGAAAGAATTTTTTTTTTTTCAAACAGCAAGGGGATTTTAGCTTTATGTATAGTAAAATAACATAAACGTCATTGATGAATGTACATTTCTTATTTTCATTAATAGTGTACGAATTTTTTTAAAAAAATTATATAAAAGGATTCAGAATGTTAAAAACTGGAACATACTGAGCATGCTTCTTAAAAAGATCAAAGATTGAGTGATGCAATTTTTCAGTGTGACACTGTATAACACAGTAGTATTCTGGCATTTATTTTTGGTACGGTTCCCTAACAATAACTGTGCATTATCTGAATATAATTTACCAAGTTCTTGGTATTATTTTCATTGAAAAATGCTGCTAGCTTTAAAATTAATTTGTGATATTGATTGTAAATATTTTATTTTCAAATGTGTATTTTGTCTTCTGTTGCCTTTTCCTACTAAAAGCTTTTTATTTAATTAACTGATGATGTTGGTCATACAAGATTGTATTTGTTTAACTGTGTTCTTTTATCAATAAAATGCAAATTGGGTACATTAGGAAGACTAATGAGAATAATTTAGTTTATGACCTCTAAAAATCTGTGTCCTAGGCCAGTAGTCGTAAAGGTGTTGGTGGTGGCTCGCAGATTGCATGTGGCCTACAAATGTGTTTCAGTTTTGTAGTAGTTGCAAATATGGTGTTGTCAAGATTTTAGTAATTTGAAGTCCGAGTTTACATAATGTTAATTATCATTAAAAACAAACATGAATAACAGACCAGAAAATCTGTAAATGGAGTTATTTAATTTACAGCATGATATAAATCTTATTTAGAGATTTGAAGATACAGATTTTATTAACTTTTATTTGTATGTGTTAGAAAATAAATACTCTCAGTTATAAATTTTTGCATTAAAAATAACTTCTTTGTTTAGGAAAATATTTATTGACTGTCTGTAATGTGATACAGGGAAAAAAATTGTTTTTAATTAAATGAATTTTAAACATAAAAATTATCTGACACTGCTAGTGCTGGAACAAAATAGAAATAAATCCCTTACTAATGAAACTGACGGTTGATATAAAAACCAAAATTCTTTAATCTTTTAAAGGAAAATTAATTTAAAACCCAACTCGATTGATTCAGTGTCTGAAAAGTAAAGCAAGATGCATCGTCTCTGGTGCCTTTGTATAAAAATCGAAGCTTATATTTTTCACTAATGTTTGCAATTAATTAAAAAAATATGCTATTTTCTCAATTAACTGTGAAAGGGCACAAAATCTTCATCTTTCCCATGAGGACTTCCTTTTCATATCCAAAGTAAATTTAACTCCCTCTCCCATATTTCCTATTTCATTTTAATTAAAGCTTGTAATAATTTTATATTAAATTAATTAGCACCTACATTTCATGACACAACATGACCAATGAACATATATAATCCGTGATAAATATATAATTTCTAGTTAGCACTCTCAAAGGTTATGAACTGTATCAAAATTGAAATGCCATCAAGTGTCAAGCTGTAGTAAGAAAATATAAGTTTATATTTCTTTATAAACAAACATACATATTTTTATATATGTGTTGAAAAATTCAATAAGTAAGAGAAAAAGACTAGGTTGTCATTATTTACTCTCAAGTTCTTCCCTCTTGGAAAGTTCAAAACTTGGAAACTTTCCTTAATTTGTTTATTTTTTAGTTTAAATTAAAGTAAGTAAGTGAATGATTAATTAAACATGTTAGAATTATTTGAAATAAATCTCAATCTGAAAATTTAATATTTAGTGATCGATATATTTGAATTACGAAGCATAACCAGTAGAAATGTCTAGGTAGTATCAAAACTTTAGATTTCAATAGAAAGTGTATAAAAATTTGAATTTTTTTTACTTTGCTATATTATTATTATTTATGTATGTTTTGATAAATATTTAGCAACTGAAATTTAAGATTTATTTAAAGTATATTTTATTTTGCCTATAAATAGATAAAAAATTTTCATTTTGATTTTAAAAATTCTGGCCCGTTAGCTGTTTTTAGATCAACTTAGTGCCATTTCTTCCTTTCCTGTTGCTTCCTCAGATCAGAATAGTGTTCTTTCTTCCACTGTTTTCTGCCACCAATTCTTCCCGTTCGCTGTTTGAAAAATCACTTTGCTATAAAGCAAACACCTGTTTTTATTGATTAAACAAGGTGACCCTTAATACTTTGATCTCGCTTAGCTTTTCTTATAATATTTATTAAATATTTCTTGTAGATGAATTATTTATTCTGAATAGAATGATGAATTTGAGGTGCGTTCAAGAAGCGTATATCTGAGTTTTAATTATGTTTTTGTTTTATAATTCCATTTTTCTCACATGCTTCAAAAGCAATGGAACTATGATTCCACTGCTTTAAAATAAAAAAGTGTAAGAATTGCATAATTAAGATTAGTGTACATTATTTAAAAGTATTGTGAGCTCTCTGTAAATACGACCATTAACAGTTCTATGGGACTTTGGATGTTGTGGTCTTGAAGAGGTGATGTTCACTGCCATTTTGTATTTTTATTCCTAAAAATGACTTCTTAAAGAGGTTGCCAGTACAGGATTCACTATAATTAATAAATAAATTAATTTAATCTAAGTTACCAAAAAAAAAAAGGCTCTTTATGCTGAGAAAGATTTAAGAGCAATGTAATTGTATTTTTTCTTTCACATTAAATTGTTATGATAATACAATAGTACACAAAAAGCTTAATTGTTTTTGTGTAGTTTTCATTGTATATAACTGATATATGTCCATAAGCATTCAACAGGTATTGAAATTTCAATATTTTGATGAATACGAGCATATTCGTCACAAACCATTTTTTCCACACTGGCCCCCAAAAAATTTTAATACAGTATAACAGACTTATAAAGGGCTCCATATCTCAAATATCAAGTCTAAATCTGGCTCTGATCTTAGCTATGTTAGGAATGCGGGTATAGTTTCCTTCTTGCAATATATCATCTTCAGAATTTGTCAGTAAAGTTCCATTGCAATGAACCCAACATTCTTTATCATTTTAAATATTCCTTTTTAATAATACGAGTATATGATGTACATTTGAATATTACAGCTTGATGACCACGTCTGGTTTCATTATATTCAGGTTTTGTTAAACCTATGATCATGCTTTAAACTGAGATGAATGAAAATATTAAGATACAAATTGAGAATAGTCACATAGGATTGAAAATAGAATTAATTGCATTTCACGCCTGTGCATTATCCTAAACTTACTTCACAGCAATTGTTATATTGCTCAGACTGTTAGGTGTAACAAAGCCAATTGGCATTTATCACATAATGTGGCCTATCTCAACAAATGGCCCTCTCGATAACGACTTTTTGAAAAGATGATGATGGAGGGAAAACTCAGCTTTCCATTAGTATGGGTACTGATGAGAGGGATGAGGGAGAGCAGTGGATGAAACAGCACAATTTGACCACAGGATGAAAAGGGAAAGGAAGAACATGAAATTTATTTCACACTGAGCATTCGGCCAGCACACAATTTGAATTTAAGACCACTGTCTTAGACAATTGCTTATGTTGCCTATGATAGAGGCTTTGAAAGAATTAAAAGAACCTTGAGATGTATATTTACTTGATAGCAGTGCTAAGTAACATCCTTTTCTAGTCATGTAAATGTCCCCTAATATTACTTCATTTCATGTTACAATGTTTGTGTAAAATATTGGCTCAAGTAACTGATTTACTCTATAAATTATATGCTTTCTCATTAAATTGCAGTATTTATATGTGTATAAAAATTATGTAGATTCTCAGTAATGAACCTAATTTTATTCTTTTTGCTGATTACAGCACGATTTATTTTCCTTTTCTTTTGATGTAGTAACATATTGTTAAACAGACATATTTTTTGTGGAATTTTACTTGTGTATTATGGAATATATATTCTAATTTTATAAAATAAAGGTATATATATACATGTATATTATTCCTAGAAGAAATGTCATGAGTAAAATTCTGTACTTTCAGTTCAAAGACTTTTCACAGCTGCCAACCCTCCAGTTTTTCACAACATCTCCTAATTTTTAATTTTTAGTCTCTAATAATGAAAATATTTTCAAGTATTTTTCAGCAATAAACGAAATTTATCGAATAAATGAAACTTAAGTTATGTAAATTTCATGCCTCCATCCCTAATAAACTTTCTTTTTAAATTTAATCTGATCTGAATTGTCTTAATTTATTACAGACATTTGTAGAACTTTGTATGAAGATTCAATCTATATTTAGTCAGTAAATATTTATATTTAATTTTGTTTTACACCAATAATATGTAATTGTCTGGTGCAGTATTTTACATTTAATAAGTGAAAAGCTAAGTTTAATTTGTGTGCTGAAGTGCTGCAAGAGCAAAATTTTGGTTGTAAACTTTAACAAGTTTCAATCTCTCATAAATCAATAGATTGTCGTCATACATTTGTATATTTGGTGTATGTTTCGTGTTGGTCTCAGAGGTAGATTTACAGCATTTGGGCTATACATTGATGGAAAGAACTTTTTTTTTTTAATTACTTCTGCTAAAAAATTCATATATGCAATTTACTTATCATAGTTACCAGTGTGCTCAGTAAAACCTGGAAATTCCTTGTTTTTCATCCCATCTCATAGTCGATCGCTGAATTTCCCAGTTTTTAATTTTTATCTTTTACTAAAAAATGCGTTTTTCAGCAATATAATTTCACTGAATTTCCGAAATGTAAATTGTATGGTTTCATTCCTAGCAATTTGCTGCATATTTTTTTGTTAAAATTTATTTGATTTGAATTGTAGTAATCTGTTGTAGATATTTGTAGAACTTCATATGAAGATTCGAATAATGTAAATCAGTAAACATTCATATTTAATTTTGTCTTACATCAATATATGGTCATTACTAAGTTTATCTACACAATTGTATATAAGTTAATTGTTTAATTAAATCTTCATTTTGTTTGAAAGTTCTTTGGTTCTTTCCTTCCTTACTCAGGATTTTCTCAGAAAGGAAAATTGCAAAGTGAAATTAACCAAAGAACATAAAATTTAAAATATCTAATTAAATGTTAATAAATTTTAGTTATAATACTATCCTAAACAGTTGAGTGACCTGATTCGAGCATTATAAAGTGAAGTTAAGTCAAATTTGAATTGAAGTCAATAAATGTTTTGACATGATGCGGCCGTGCAGAGTGAAAACTCTCTAAAGCTCTCAGTTTACGGCAGAAGAACCTCCCTATTATTCATATTTCTAGGTTGGCAGCTATAACATAATACCCAGCAATTAAATTGATTTTTATAAATGCATTTGGCTTTGAATAAGAAATGTAAAAAATTGTGCTTAATTATAAAATATGCAATTGACTGATCTTTTTAATTATTTGAATGAACAGAAAATTTAAATGTGCATTTATTTTGTTACTGGTCATGCTAAACTATTTTGGGAAGTGTGAATACTGAATATCATGTACTTTGTCTTGTCTAAAGAATAGCTTAACTTCATTCAATGTAAACTATGCAAACTTGTAAATATAAGTAGTTCCACGAAGTGTACAAATTAAAGTATCATAAATGTTTGTAAATATGCAAATGAAATATATTTAAAAATAAATTTGTATAGTGTATACGAATTTCAATGAAAATAAATATTTTAATTATGTAGTTATAAAAGTGTATGTTAATTACTTTATTATTTTAATTACACTCTTGATGTATATTTTACATATAAGAATATTGTTCCATTTCTGTGGGTTCGTGGATTTGGAGGGATTGACGACAACGCTTGACGAAGAATCAAAACACAATTTATTCGCCAGTATTTTACACAAGAATTCCAAAGACACGTTTACAATCATCGAAAAACTACAATAAACATGCTGAAACAATCAGCAATGCAGCCTTCAGACTATCAGGTTATAACGGTGAAGACAGCACCAGGGCAAAACACTAAATTCAGCTCCAGACTCGGTCGGTGGCTCTCAGAGCTCAACACACTCAGGATGCTCTTCATCATAAAACTCGCGATACACTGCTAATCCACTTACAGGCAGGGTTTTTATAGCTTTTGACCTACCTTCAAGAACATTCTGGAGTAAACCAGTAAAAATTCGTTCTAGAACGCTCTCGCTTCGTCTATGGCATATCGCCAGATTTTGAGCCAAATCTGGCAGCCTTGCCTTTCTTTGTCATTTTCTGGCAACCCTAAACCTGCTTTGTGGTGAAGTTGTCTTACCGCAGCTGGGCATCCATAACAGTGTATTAATTGTTATCCATCTGAAGTTGCTTTAAAAGAAGTTAAATTTGCAAACTACACTTTTTGGAAGAAATATTATGCTTCTTACCTGACAACAAGCTTTTTATATTTTAATTGTTATTAAATCATTAACTTTAGTAACTAATCATTGTGATATGCATTAATTTTACAGAATATACAACTTTTTTTTTAATTCTAAATATCAAGAAATGTCACATAATTAAGCCATATTGAAATATTGTTGGCACATTTTTTGTTAACAATATTTAGTTCATGTGACACATTTTTTATTGTATTTTATGTTATACTTCATAACTCCCTCAAAACTTGTTTTGTTTCTAGAGGGTACTTCAAGAATATGCCGAATAAACTGCAGCAGAGAGAATTTGAATCTTTGAGTTAATCATAGAACAATATCATTTGAGGTAATTAATTCATGGAGAATCAGGCCATGAATAGTTTGGTTTCATTTTGTTCATAAGATATGATATTATAATAAGAACAATAAGTACACAATAACCATGAAATATCATTGACATGCTGACCATTGTTTCGAGGATAGCAATGATAAAGATCTTGCAAAAGTTCTTTGGAACGGAGGTCTATTGAGCATAGCCAGTTACCACTGGAGACAACTTCCCAGATAATTCTCCTTGTGAGTAAAGTGTGTGACGTTCCAAAATAAAGGCAGATTCTATGTGTTAGACTCGTTCGTGAGGACCACTTGCGCCCATTGTGAGGACATCAATCATCATTAAAGACAGGACGATTACCTAGACTTAGTTTTGTATTGATTAAGTAGGTATTACAAATGGTTAAAGGGCTGGATTTAATTTCTAAATTTAGAAGTGCTGAAATTAAAATTCAGCAAAATTTTTTAAAAATAATTATTATCATTATTAAATTCCTTAAAAACATCTAAGAGCTCTGACAACTACTTTGATAAATACTTTTGGGTACATCAAAGCAAAGTGATTAATCCATGTAATGTTTTCAATTCCTTTTTCTTTGAATTCCTATTAAAATTATACAATCTATGCAGTACATTTTATGAAGCCAAGTATTATAAGGGAATTCAGCATTCATTTTGCATTGAAATTTTTTGCCTTCTCATTACGTGCCTTTGCATGGTGTGGCCTTGCTAAAATATTTTCTCTGTTATAAGATGTGTGTGTGTGTATTAAGAATGTTATATTTGAACATCTGTACATTTCCCAAATTATTACCTGCATCACTGCCAATTTAACCTCAAGGCATATGTTAACTTAATTTCATTGCAAACTTATTTCTTTTAACTATTCACTAATGATTTCACCGGTTTTCCATCATTAATAATTAATCTATAGCAAATGTGGAAAGCAGTTTTTCTGTGTTAACTATCCTGTAAAATATATTGTTATACACTGACATGTTTAAACCATTTTTCTAAAAATATGGGTGTGTTAAAAAGTGTACGAACGGCCCTGGCGAGATACATATATACGTACGTACACACGTACAAACATCAAGGAAAAAATTGTCTTTTAAATCTATTTCACAATCCATTTTACAATTTTGGGGAAAAGAGTCCTTTATTCTGACTGTACGTACAGATGTCATGGAAAAAAAATCTTTCCAATGCATATGAGAGAGGTCAAAATGGATATTTTCGTTGAAATATGATATCCGAAATTGTTTGCTGTTACGATGCATCTTTTACTTCGTACGAGGAAGTGAAAAGAAAGGACCACTAGCGGCCGAGTGGTAAAATCGCTGAACATTGTTAGTTGAGTCCGAGGTTCGAATCCCAGCAAACGGACTGGCTGCACGCGAATTTCCATGGTTTTGCCCGTGTTCAAAAGTGTATAGGAGCCAGTAGTCCTCAGAAAATCCTCCACGAAGGCATCCCTCCTCTTCGGCAGATAGCCTTTGAGTGCTTTGAAATAATTAAATAAATCAACCAAACCTTAAAAAGGGGGAAGAAAAAAGCCTATAACTTTTACTATAAAAAGTGTTATGAATTAAAAATAATAGGTACTTTTCCGTTTCGCCGGCGCAAATCTCGCCAAGCAGACTTTGTTGGTGACAACATACAGTATACACATAAAAAATGTTAATTCTAATAATTTTTTTTTATTTTGAAGGCATAAACATTTTAATATGGTTTAAAATTTTGTAAAAAGCCAATAAATAAAGACAATAAATTTGTAAAAAGACATTAATTTAAGAATTTACTATGATTTCATGGTTTCAATATCCTGATTCGCCGGTTCGTATCACGTGACCCCAAGTGATGTCATCTCACGTAAACTACGCTACTAAAATCTAATTCGCTCAGTAATTATCTACATTAATTTCAAGTTAAATCTTAATTTGGAATACAGTTTAAATGCAAGAATTATTTCAATTCGTACGATAGCTTACTCAGAAATTATGTAAAACGCAGTGCTTTACTTCGCTAGTGCATTCTCATTAGAATTGATGAATTTAACACTTGATTTCGCCTTCGGATGAGCGGTGTAATTGCGTTCTAATTGACTTATTACCGTGAATTGTCTTAGGAGATAAAATTTAAATATCGTGTAAAAATTCTATATTATTGTATGCCAGTATTGAAAGAAACAATCTGATAAGAAATGGCTTTGTGGTGATGGCGATAAGGAGCGCGCCTTGCGCCCTCCGATAAGTGTGGCAACCCTAGAGGAGAAGTTCTTCTTACGAGTAGCGAGCAGAGCGAAACAGGCAGGCTGTCGGGGAGTATGCGCGAAGTTCCTAAATAAAGCTTAATTTTTATTGTGCACTATGTCTTGTTAATATTTATATTAATGCAGTAAGAACACGATCTGTGATATGGAATGCGAGCATTGGTGGTAAAAACATACAGGTAACAACATGATAGGAATCACCATAATGGTGACTTGAACTGTGCTAAATCAGGCCGTATGAACAGTTCTCAAGCACTTTCGGTTTTGACTACAAGGCCATCACTCAAGATCTCCAAACCAGAAGTAATGGATTATATCCGTTTTTCATCCTCTGAATCACAGATGAGTAGTAATTATAGATCATTTTATAATTCTTGTTTTCTACTTATCATTTAATTTCATTTTCTTTAGTTAAATTTTTGCTTTTATTTTTGGCTTAAAAACCTTGCACAATGTCTGATGTTCATGCCGTCCAAATTGCGGTTTATAACCAATCAGACCCATCTTTATGGTTTATTATGTGTGAAAGTACTTTTGCTCTTGCCACCCCCAAACCTATCACAGAATCCATTACTAAATATAATTATGTAGTGCTCATCTTCCTCCAGATATTGCATCAATAGTACGGGATTTACTTATGAAACCAGACCCTATTGATCCATATGCAAAGCTTAAAAAAACTGAGTTAATAAATCGTTCAGGAGAATCTTCTCAGCAAGAAATTCGCCAATTATTATCTGGAGAAGAATTAGGTTCTCGAAAACCTTCCGATTTGCTTAGAAATATGAAACGTCGAGGCAGAATCTTTAAATGTTCCTGATAACTTAATGTTAGAATTATTCCTTCAAACGTTTGCCTTCGACTGTTCAGTCTATTTTGGCAGCGGTTTCCAATTTAACTGTAGATAAAGCTGCAGAAAATTGCCGACAGAATTTTAGAAGTAATCCAAACCCCAGGGACTTGTGCCGTTTCTCTCGGCACAGTCGATCAGTCTCTTGAGGATAAATTATTTAAACAAATAGAAAAATTAAACAAACGTATTGATCGCATTTCTCTTTCTCGTGGTCGCTCGCCAAATCGCGGAGATCGCAATAAGGAAAGAAGCAATTCCAAAAGGAGAGATTATTTGTTTGCTGGTATCATAGACGTTTTGGGAAAAAGTGTAGAGATGACAAATGTACAAAACCTTGTTCATGGGCAGGGAAACGAAAACCAGCAAAGAATAGAGGCGACTTATTCTTTGCCTCAAGTTTCACGTCGCTGTTCGTTCGTGACCGTAGAACAACCTTTCATTCTTGGTCGATACCGGCTCTGACGTGTCCTTACTTCCAGCAAATAATTCTCAAAAACGGAATCGTCCCAACAAACACTTTTCGCTGCTAATTCTTCTACTATTCATGTTTTATGGTCAAAACACTTTCTTTTGGATTTCAAATTAAGACGACAGTTTACATGGACTTTTTATAGCAAATGTTAGTACACCCATTCTTGGAGCAGATTTTCTCCATTTCTTTGAATTGGTGCCTGATCTCAGAACAAATGTCTCAAAGATTTAAAAACGCATTTTAAAACCGTCGGTTGCGTGAAAAATGCAAGCATTTATTCAGTAAAAACTTGTATTTTAGTGATACACCATATCATAAAATTTTAAAAGAATTCCTTCAGTTACTAGATTACCAGATCCTAACCAACCTGTTAAAATAACACCGTTCATTATATCATAA